TTCTGAATCTTTAGTTGGTACATGTGCACCTCACGTAAATAGCACATAAACATCTTTTTCTTCTTAAGTCTCTCTGTGATAATTTCGCTAGCTCCTATTCTTCCCATAGCAAATTTTATTAAAAACATATTTAGGAATCTCCCCCAATGTCAACCAACACTAAGCTTTTAGGTTTTATTGACTAACAAAAAGGGAGTCCTGACATTAAACAGGCATTTGCCCAGTGCTGGCCCATTTCATCCTCCAAGCTACTCTTTGCTCTCATAGATAAGAATACGGAGGCACACAGAGCAATCACCTGCTCACACTCAGGTGCAAAAGCCTGAATTTCTGCCCTGGCCTGTACGTATGTGCCTTCTTTCCACTGCCAGGTTTAGGGTGTCTTGGGAGACAAGGATGGTAGAGGTCAGGAAAGGATTCCCCTAAGAGCTGGTCTTTCTCGATATGTCCCCCATGTCCAGAGGGGAAAGGGCATCCTGAGCAGAGAGATGGAGGCACCGGAGAGCGTGGTGCGCTGAAGTAGTGGCAGTAATGGCAACTATTATCTACAGAGCACTAACCACGGCCCAAGAGGCCTAAGCATTCATGTTTGGCCCTGGCATTTTGGACAGGTTAGTTCTTTGCTGTGGAGGCCGAACTGCCTGTTACAGATTTCGTAACATTTCCAGCCTCTTTCTACCGGATGCCAGTACCACCCAACCCAGTGGTGAAAAAAAGTCTCCTGGGGGTCCACTGCTCTAACCCTAGGAGGGCTAGACTATTCTTACTTCTATCTCACAGGTGAGGAAATGTAACGTGTTGTTACATAAGTAGGATAGACGTCCCAGGATCTGAATCGGGCGCCTCTGTCCTTAACCACCATACCCACAGCCAGCTTCCTGCCTGAGCTTTGTGTTCAGTGGGGTGCAGGTAACAGGAGGCAAGAGATAAAAGCTAGGAGCAGCTCACGAAGGGTCTTGAAGAGCTTGCCTGCTCTGTGCCAGGCCCAAATTCAAATCCAACCAAACCGCTCACTCAGGGTGTTCCCAACCCAAAGAGACAGTGAACAGATAGAGGCAGCCACAGCCCAAGGGGACAGGGCCTATGACAAAGTGAGGGACCAGAGTCTGTGAGAGCCCACAGGCAGCTTGTTAATCCAACGCAGGGGAGGAGGGATCCTGTAGGCTTCCTGGAGGAAGTACATCGGAGTGGGTACCTGGCTGAGAAACTGAAATCAGTGGGATGGGGGAGAGTGGGGCAGGACAGTCTTCCGGAAGACACGGCAGCTTGTGCAAACAGCCGGCAGAAAAAGTTCTTTAGCTGGCAAATGGGGGCCCTGGCAGAGGTGCAGTGGCGAGATGAATCCAGAAAGTCGCCAGGGGCCAGGTCACAAACAGCAGACTGAGGAGCGTGACCGTTACCCTGTAACCAAGAAGCTGTAGACCGTTATCTGCCTTTCTGCCCCCAACACGCAGTCTTTCCCCCTCGAATATTAACTTAATGAGTTGCAACAAACGAAACACAAAATGGTTGCAAAGCATCCACGAGAAACCTCTGCCCAAACCGTGCCCACTGGTTGATGAAAGTGGCCCAGTTCTCAGCAGCGCCGACGCTCCCCCAAGGAACCGACAGGAAGAACCAAACCGCTGCAACACCCTGCTTCCCAGCACTTACATATTGCCAAACACCAGTCTTCATACTGCACATATATTAACTCATTTAGTTCTTCCAACAATTGCTATTATGATCCCCCTTGAACAGAAGGCACAGACAGGTTCAGCCACTTACTCAGGGTCACACACCTAAGTGGACTTACGGACTTAGTCCCCGGGGCAGGCTGCCTTTCACATCTTTTCTTCACTGATGCCTCGCTTGAGGTTAACCTTCTTTTTACTAACTTCTCACTCAAAAGTATGTGAGTCATGTTGAGATGTGTTTACCTACTAAAGAAACTTTGAAGGCGGGAGACTAAAATCAACACAGAAACATCCCAATCTGTATACTAGTTTTTGGAGCAACGACCAAGGCACAGCACAATACCGCTTAGGCCAGGCTTTGGCCAACCTTAGCACCATTGCTGTTTTTGGCCAAATAACTCTGCTATGGGAGGCCCTCCTGTGCAGTGTTTGGTGGCTTGGCTGGCCCTACCTACCACATACCAGTCACACCTACCCCTTACCCCCTGGCTGTGAAAACCAAAAACGTCCCCGGACATTGCCAAAAGTTCTCCGGGGGGGGGGGGGGGGCGGTACAAAAATCGCCAGCTGAGAACCGACTTAGACTATCTGTAGATTGCCTGAGGTTATGAAACCCCTCCCTCGCTGCCTGCTTTAAAAGAAAACATAGGCCTGGCCCAGAAAAGGAAGCCATTCCCGATTATGAGAATTAAATGAGGTGAAGATAATTAACGTCCACTGTTTGGTTAATACACACTTTCCATGTTAACTCATTTATCTTCCCAAACACTCTGCCTGTAAGTACTATTACTGTCACCGCCCCCCCCCCCCCCACCTCCCCCTTGCACAGGTGAGGAATTCTGAGACGGTGCGCGAAGTCTAGAGCACAGTGTCCGGCACGTGCTGAGTGCTCACTAAGCGCTGTGGCCCCTCTCCCGCCCCCCATGTCCTGGATAGAGCACTTATAGCCTCTAGGCTCCTGCAGCCCCTGGCTCAGGAGCCTCCACATCAAGCGTGGTCATCCCTGTCTCCCCAACCAGGCCCGATACACCTGTCTCACAAGACGGGGCCTGGCACAAAGGCAGCTCCAGGAAATGATTAATGGATGAGTCTGATGACCAGGATTCAACCCTTCCAACAGATGCCCCTCATCACCCCTCACTCTCAATCCTTCCTATCAAAGGCTTCACAGGGGTAGACACAAAAGAAACTCAGAAAAATAACACGCAGGAAAGGGGACACTCTGGGGGCCGGAAGGAGGAGGCTGAGGGCTCGGACCTGGTTAGGTCCTCCGTTTTTTTGTTTTGGGGCCTGTACCCCGGAAAATCGTCCGTTTCACGGGTCTCACCTGCCCTCCATCCCGACGCCCGCCTTCAGCTCCACCGGGCAGAAGGCGCGCGCACCGGTCACGGAACCACGCCTGTGCATAACCGCTCGCAGGGTCCACACTCCGAGTTCGGAGCCCGTGTAGAGAACCGCAAACCGGAAACCACCCCGACCGCGCACGCACCCAGCTGTCACGCAGAGGCTGCGCGCGCCTCGACCCACTCTGTCTCTCCTCAGAACCTGTCCACGGCACGCGCTGCCCCTCCCTTTCCTGCCCCATTCCCTTCTCCGCCACCCTGAAGCCTCCCGACCTGCACCACAAATTCTATCATACTCCCAAGAAAGCATGAAATCTTAAAACCACTCCGTCTTTGAAATACACTGCGCAGTGCGCCACATCACTCGCTGAACCAACTCCTGCGCAAGCGCAGCCGGGAAGGGGTCGGACCAGCCCGGAGCCCTCTGAGACCGCCGGCGGAGCGCGTGATGTTACCACGAGGCTCACAGTCCAAGAAAGAGACGCGCCCCTCACCGTACTGCCGCACAGGCACCTGGGAGTCATAGGCGGGCAGACCCGTGGCCTTCTGGGAGTCGTAGTCCGTTCAGCCACTTCCGCGTTTTCTGGGAGCCTGGACCTTCCACCAGAGCGGGTTCTGCTCAGGTGAGTGTCCCCTCCCGCGCGGAACGGTCCCGGCCCTTTGTCGCACTGCCGTGTAGGCGTTGATGGTGCCCATATTTCTCTCCCACGCGCCCCAGCAGGGAATCCCTGCACACACGGCACTCCTCTCCGTAATCCCCCTGGCGGCCCTCCTGGTGGGAGTGACCGGCTTTGGACTCAGCGGCCGGGTGCGGGGCGAGCGCACTCTCCTCTGTCCTGGTTACAACCTACAGTGATCAGGGCTGGCCAAGGGGGCGATCAAGGCCGCCGTTGGAGCCCAGAGGAGGCGCCAGAACCGGCCCAGGGTTCAGGCAAGACTTCCAGAACCAAAGGTCCTCAACTCTGCCATGCCCAAATGAAATTCCAGATTCTCTGCCCTAAACCTGCCCTTCTCATACTATTTCCCCAGTCTTACCTATTTCTCACCTCTTCCCCACTACATGGTCCCATTCTCCTTCCATCTGTTCCTGCCAAAACCTTGGACTTGTTCCGAGCTTCCTGTTGCTCCCACCCACTGCCGTCCCCCAACCACGTCTTCTGTGAATCCCGTCCGCTCTGTTTCTAGACGAGATCCAGACTCCGACCACTTCTCTCCGCTTGCGCCGCTTCCACTCGGCTCCGCGCCACCCTCGGTGCCCACGTGGACCGGGGCAGGAGCCTCCTCACGGGTGTGCCCATGCCGCTCTCCACTGTCTCTTCACACACAGCAGCCTGCGGGCTCTTGTTACACTATGAATCAGATCCTGTCAGTCCACAGCTTAAAACCATCCAGTAATTCCTATCTCATTAAGAAGTCCAAGCTTCTCACCCTGACAACCGTCAAGCCCCGCGACTCTCTTCTCTTCAGCCCCAACACTTTCCAACCAACTAAATACAGGCAGGCCTGCCCTTCAGGTCCTTTGCATTTGTTCTTAACTCTCTCAGGAACATTCTTCCCATTCTGATCTAATAATGCCTCACTTCTCGATCTTCTGGCCTCATCTCAGGCGATAATTTCCTCACATTACTCCTCATATGTTTAAATATATCTTGGTTATTTCTTACTTATCCATGGGTTGGTTCCTTCATTAGAACCTTTTGCCTGCCACCTTTCCCGTTTGTTCACTACTGTGTCCCCCGTGCCCAGGATCCTCAGAGTTGGTATTTGTTGAATGAATGGAAACTTAAGCTGAGATCTGAAGGTGCCTGGCCAGCACAGTGCTGATGAAAAAAGTGTTCCAGGTAGTGGGTTTACTCTGGGCGCTATCCAGGCAGCCTCCACGGAGGCCATGTCCCTGCAATCTGGAACCCACGTGTAACCTGCCTTCTTTCTCTCCCACTCCAGGAGAAGCCAAGCCCTCCCACCCAGCCCGGACCCCGCGATGCCCGCCCCGCAGTGCGCCTCCTGCCGCAAGGCCCGCGCCGCCCTCCGCCGCCCGCGCTCCGGCCAAGCGCTGTGCGGCACCTGCTTCTGCGCCGCCTTCGAGGCCGAGGTGCTGCACACGGTGGTCGCGGGCCGCCTGCTCCCTCGCGGCGCCGTGGTGGCCGTGGGCGCCTCGGGTGGCAAGGACTCCACGGTGCTGGCGCACGTGCTGCGCGAGCTGGCGCCGCGCCTCGGCATCTCGCTGCAACTGGTGGCGGTGGACGAGGGCATCGGCGGCTACCGAGACGCGGCGCTGGCGGCTGTGCGGCGCCAGGCGGCGCGCTGGGAGCTGCCGCTCACAGTCGTGGCCTACGCCGACCTCTTTGGGGGCTGGACGATGGACGCCGTGGCCCGCAGCACGGCCGGCTCCGGCCGCAGCCGCTCCTGCTGCACCTTCTGCGGGGTGCTGCGGCGCCGGGCGCTGGAGGAAGGGGCGCGCCGCGTGGGAGCCACGCACGTCGTAACGGGTGAGCGCATGCGCTGCGATAGGAGGGCCGGTGTGGGAGGAACCAGCGCATGCGCAGGCGAGGGCGGGCGCTGAACGCGGGCTAACGCGCATGCCCATAAAGTGAAAAGGCGAGGTTGGGTTTGTCGTAAGTGGTGCATCTTAGTAAGGCTCAGGGCCATGGTCTGTGCACGTCCCTGGGATGGTGCAGGGCAGGTGTGGCAAGCTTGAGTCGCTGTCATCATCTTGGTACACACACACACACACACACACACACACACAGAGGCAAATGGAGAGCTGGAGAGGTACCCCCTGGGGGCTAGGGCTGTGGTTTTCTGAATTTTAAATGGCATTCCTAAGATTTCCCCTCACAAAAGTAGGGGTGTGCAGGGGTGTCTCCCATCTGTAGTCTGAAACGCAGCGGTGTCATTTAACTCCCTTTCTCTCTCAGCTTCAACCTCTGGTAACTCTTATTCTCTCCCAGTCATTTCTTTAACCGATAACTATTGACCATTTACTATGTGCCAGATACAAGCTATGTAGCCTGGAATGAAGTTCTTAGCCTCGGTTTCCTCTTTGGTAAAATGGGGACGTTAATACTATCCTGGGGATGCTAAGAATTAGATGTGTGAAGCACTTAGACCAGAGGCTGGGAAGCCGTGCACACGATTTTAACGTTTGCTGTTCTGGTGCACAACAGTCTCTGCTCCTGCCCGAGTCTCAGTCACAACTATATCATCAGTGCTAATAGGAAAGCGACACTTCGTGAGTTGGCAACAGGAGGACCTAGTGGAAGGAGAAAGGTGGGGGTCAAGGAAGCGTTTCCTGAGTGCGCCGAGGCCTGAGGGCTGGTGAGGGGTGGGTGGAGGTGGGAGAGGTGTTCTGAGCGCAGGCGAACCGCGTATGCACAGGCCCTGCGGAGAGGGCGTCGGGCCTGTTGAGAAGCCCTAAGGAGACCGGCGTTTTACTAGACAGACTCGGGTGTAAGACGAGAAGATGCAGAGGAAACAGAGATGTGGCTTAAATGTTGTGGCGACTGTTGTGCAGTCCCTTTCTCCTCCATCTGCCTTCCCAGAGGCCCTGTGTCAACAGCGCAGTTGGGGGTCCCCCCTGAGTGCCACTGGGGCTTTCCCTGTGCGGCCTGGAGCGCACTTTTAACCGAGGCTGACGGGATAACTGCAGCGCAAAGCGCCTTTGCTGCCTCCGTGAAGGGGCATCCAGCACAGGGCCTGCCTGGCCCGGTCGGTGCGCGGCAACGAGCGCGGCCCAAATCGCTCCGTGGGGGCCGGTGTTGGTCCCTTCCTGTTTCGCGCTGTGTCCACCTTCCGCCTTCACCGGCTGCCCCGCGCTGCCCGGGGTCTCCATAGCCTGCACCCCTTGCCTCTACCTGCCAGTCTCTTTTGCGTCCTGGCTGCCCCAGGATTGGGTGGGGAGGTGGGTGTCCCCACAGTGGGGTCACCCACTCTGTGCCATTCGCCACGCTCCTCCCGGTCTCTCTGGGTCCGGACTGCTCCGCAGTGTCCCCATGACCAGCAGGGCCACGCCCCGCGCCCCCTCCTGACCTGCCCCCCTTCTCTCCCCCAGGCCACAACGCCGATGACATGGCGGAGACCGTGCTCATGAACTTCCTGCGGGGCGACGTGGGCCGGCTGGCCCGGGGCGGGGGCCTGGGCTCCCCGGGCGAGGGGGGCGCCCTGCCGCGCTGCCGCCCGCTGCAGCTGGCCTCGCAGAAGGAGGTGGTGCTGTATGCGCACTTCCGCCGCCTGGACTACTTCTCCGAAGAGTGCGTGTACGCGCCCGAGGCCTTCCGCGGCCACGCGCGCGACCTGCTCAAGCTGCTGGAGGCCGCGCGGCCGTCGGCCGTGCTGGACCTCGTGCACTCGGCCGAGCGCCTGGCGCTGGCTCCGTCCGCTCGGCCCCCGCCGGCCGGCGCCTGCTCCCGCTGCGGGGCGCTGGCCAGCCGCGCGCTCTGCCAGGCCTGCGCCCTGCTGGACGGCCTGGACCGCGGCCGGCCCCGCCTGGCCATCGGCAAGGGCCGCCGGGGCCGGGACGAGGTGGGGCCGCCTGGGGCGCCTCGGGAGCAGGTCGGAACCCCAGACTCTGAGGCCGTTGCCTCGTTCTAGGGACCACAGTTCTCTGGTGGGATCCAACCTGGGAGCGCGGGGCGCCTGTAAATGACACTGTGAATAAACCTCAGTTACCTTTGCCCCGTGCTTCGGTGTGAAGTCCGGAGACGGAAGGAGCGGGTTTCCTGCGACGCTGCAGAAGCCGGGTCCGAGCCCCCGGGTCTGAGGAGGAGGAGGAGGCTGAACCACATCCCACTCCTGCGCGAGTGGGCGTTGGGGCGCTGCCTGCCTCGCGCCTCTCTGCCAGCCTCTCAGCCAGCCCCAGCCCTTCGTGAGCACCTGCTGTGCGCGGGCGTTTCCTGTCTGCCTGCAGCGGGGTAAGCAAAGCCCCCCGAGGTGACGGGCACACGTCGCTCACTGTAATCCTGGCGCTTCTCTGAGCCCCCTCACTTCATTCGCTCCCTCTCACTGGCTGTCGCCTGAGCGCCAGCAACTGGCCCGAGGTCACCTGGCCGGAGAGGGGCAGGACTGGGGGCTCACACCAGGCAGGGTCTGCCTGGGCCTCTTGCCCGACACCCCGTCACACCTGAATCCCTCCCGGTGTCCCGGTGAGGGGCAGCTGGGGGGGCTCCCCAGACCTCCGCGTCTGGAGGCGGAGCTGGGTGAGCCTGAGTCAGTGGCTCGACTTCTCTGGTCTTCAGTTGCCTCCTCTGAATGCGGAATCGTAGCCCTGTTGTGAGGATTTGATACAGTAGGCGCTCCATAAATGGTCCGACTTGGTTGTGCACATTAAGGTTTGGCCACCAGGGGGCTCTGGGTTTCAGGGTTGCCACTTGCCCATCCACGCAGGTGTGAGGCCCACAAGCTTCCTGCCTGACCCACGGGGAAGGTGGCAGGGGGTGGGGGGTGGTTTGTGGTGTCTTCAGTCCCACCCCAAGCTTTGCTGGGCTGCCTCTTGTCAGGAATGCCCTCCCTTTCCCATCTTCCCGCCCAAACCCTCCAGCGTCCTCCCGGAAGCCTCCCTGAGTCTTCCGTCCAACCCAGACCCCATTCCCTGGGTCCCGCCCCCGTGTGTGCCCATCCACATTTTCTGGGTCTCATTTTTCCTAACTTGACTGAGCTCGGAGGGCAGAGACCAAATCTCCCTCCCCACCAGATAACACCACCGCATTCCTCCAACATTTATGGAGCCCCTAATGTATGTGTGGGTTGATGGGGGGGGGGGAAGTCTCACTTGTGGAGCTTACAGTCTTGTGGGAGAGCGACAGAGAGAGGTAAATACATGCTGTGAGGTCTGGTGATGAGCGCCATGATTAGGAAACGATGGGACATGAGGGGAAAGGCTGTGCAGGGAGCTGTTTTATCTTGGAAAGTCAAGGCTTCTTCAAGAAGGTGAGTTGGGTAGAAACCAAAATAAAGCCTGGGAAGTTTCTAGCCATGGTGGAATCTCTCCTGTCCACGATCCTTGCCATGAAACCAAACGGGGGGGGGGGGGAATACACACAGAGAGATAGAAAACAGAATCTTTTCGAAGACATGAAAGAGCAACCCAGGTGGCCACAGTCCCAAAGAAAAGGGAAGTTTATCCTCCAGGGGGGGCCAGGAGACCAAGGAAGTCGCCAGAAAGCGCATGCTAAGAGGCTGGACACCAGAGCTGAATGTTGGGCAGCATCGTGGGGCTGGAGACGGAAGTGGAGTCTGGAGCTACCGAGGCAGCTGGGACCTGAGGAGCCAAAATCTTGGGCAGCAGGGAAGAGCGTTGAGGCGAGCCTAACAATGTGCTCAGATAACCCCTGGGCAGTGTCATGGAACCAGGGAAACAAAACTTGATGTTCAGGATCTCCTGAGAAGGAGAGGCCGCGTAAATACCTCACTTAGGACCCAAATAGAATTACAAATTAGAGTAAGGGTCATGGGCAAGTAGGCCTAATCACAAAAAGACCAGAACCCATGTTCAGACTGAATCCGACACGGGATTAACAAGATCCCTACTCCATGTGCTTTCCAGGAAGCAAAAGTGGGGTAGCCCCGGCCACACGATCCTGTTTACATTTAATTGGTTAAAATTAAATTTAAAGCTCATTCCTCAGTCATACTAAACACATGTCAAGTGCTTCATAGCCACAGGTGGCCTGGGGCTCCCATATTGAACAGCCCAGATACAGAACATTTCTATCACAGAAAATTCCATTCTGCAGTGCTGTTCTAGACCATTCTAGAATCCAGAGGGAAAAAATTTTCAACCATGGCCTCAGAAAATCTCTACCATTTTTCACACAAAATACCCACTATTCAATAAAATAAAATAAAATAATATAAAATGTACAAGCATGCCAGGCGATAGGACAAAAGAGCTGAACACCAAGAGGACAACAACATAGACATGGCCCAGGTGACCCAGGTGTAGGAGCTGCAGGCGTGGACTAACGCCATGACCTAACCAGTAAGGTGTAGAGTTTGGTAGAGGAATAACGAGAACACCGCAGGTAGGAGAACGAGCAGGGCGTGTGGCTACAGAGACCCTCCTGCACCCTCACCAATTCCTGCACTTGGAGCTCATATCCACCCTGCTCCTGCAGGGGCCCTGGGAGGACACAGAGGCTCAGCTGCAGCCCACGCCCCTCCCCCACATGCCTTCTACCCTCCCTTTGGCCCACTCACCTCCGACCGCACTCCCCCCACAAAAGGGGCTGCAGCCGGGGCACCCTGTCGGTATGTGACAGGGTAGAAAAAGTCCCGGTCCCCAGCTGTGGGGTGGGGCCCAAGGCACGCCAACAGGAAACCCTGGGCGACAGAGCTGTCAAAGGGGAACTTGAGCTTCACAGGCCGTGGGGGTGCTGTGAGGGTTGAGAAATGATCCTGTCTCGCGTCCCCCACCACTGCATGGGGATATACTGAGGCCCCAGAGGTTGAGAGGCTTGTCTGGATGTGACTCTAAAGTGATCACCTTGCAGATGATGTTTAAGTCAAGAGGGAGCTGTCAGAGCTGGTCCTGGTCACTCGGGGAGACCCATCCTCCGATGGAAACCAGTGAACGTTCTGGAAAAGGATAATTTTAAATTGTCTTTAGACCACTCGAATGGCCTTAAGAAATTCAGATCCAACCCCCCCCCGGGGAGGGTAGAACCCAGGGGGAGAGCTGAGCATTAAAGGCCTCTGTTGGTTGATTTCCACGTGTTAATTTCTTTAATGCTCCCAGCCACCCTTGAGTAGGATGCATGATCTCAGCCGTACAGAATGGGAAACAGGAAGAGAAAAAGAAAGTGAATCGCTTGGAGACAATGCCGTAGCAAGTGCTGAGGCCTGCACTTGAGCCCAAGTCTCCCTCCAACCCCACCACTTTCCTTCTTCCTGCTCTGCCTGTGGAAGCTCATGCAGTGGTTAAGCTGATGTTGCACCAGGTCTCCTCATGTTTCCCCAAGTGGTCCCTGACTTCTTTTCCCAGAGAGGCTGGGATGCCTCTGGCCACAACCGAGCTCCAAGTGAGTCCTCATTTGCTTGGCTTCTTGATCTCTGAGTACTCAGAGGTGCTGTCGGCCTCTTGGTCCTGGAGCTCCCACGGCTTCGTCCCATGAAAGTTGAGGTTGGCGTAGTGGAGCTCCTGCTGCTCCCCAGGTAGAGGAGTATCCCTGGTGGGTGACGCTTGGTCTGGGGGCCTGTCTGGCTGGGCCTGGTGCTGCCAACCCTGAGTGAAGGGGAGACAAGGAAGTCGGAGAAAAAATAAGGCAGACTTGGTCCCAAGGGGAAATTGGGCTGATGGAACAGTTTTCCATTCACCCTCTTATTCCACACCCATTTCTTATGAACTCAACTATTTGCTCATTCATTTAAAACATTGTAATGCTGCCCTGGTTGGTGTGGCTCAGTGGGTAGAACACCAATTTGTGAACTGAGAGGTTGCCAGTTCGATTCCCGGTCGGGGCACATGCCAAGGGTTGCAGGCCAAGTCCCTGGCTGGGGGCGTGCGAGAGGCAACCGAATCTCTCTCACATTGATGTTTCTCTCCCTCTCTTTCTACCCTCCTTATCCTCTCTCTAAAAGTAAATAAATAAAAGAAATAAAATATAATACTACAAGTGTCTAGAACATAGCAAGGGCAATAATCACATTTCATCCTCACAGAAAACAGATATAAGTGATATTTTTATTACTTCCATTTATGGACAGGAAAACTGAGGTGGGGTGAGGTGAAGTAACATGCCCGGAATGGGTAGAAAGCAATAGTTTGGGGAGGGTGGGTTTCTGGCCACCCGCACCTGACAGAGAGGCGAGGTGGGCTCAGCGGTCAGCGGGGCTGGGCAGCAGGCCGACCCTGGGCTCTGGGAGAGGAGGGGAAGCCACCTCCCAGCTGTCTGTCCAGCTGACCGAAGGGAGGCAGGTTCGGGGTGCCGAGCAGTTCAGCCTGGACGCATCGAATGCACATGCCCGTCCCCACCTACACTCTATGAGAAGACGCCCACATCACTCACCCAGGTGACTGAACCCATGACAGGGTCTTCATCATTCATGACCTTGCGTCTCCCCGCTGCTTCCTTCCTGCGGGCTTTCACTCTAAGGGAAGAAGTCAGGGGCCCCAACGGCTCAGGCACAGTCGGGCTGGCTGCCCCCGCTCCCTGATAAGACAACGGAGGCATCCAGGCCCTGGAACCAGACTCGGGGACCCTCCTGAATGCTCTGTCCCCTGGATGACCAGGTGTTGGACCTAGACTAAGCTTTCATCACCACTGGTCCCTACACAGAGAGAAACTTACACACGAGTGACTGTAACAGTGTTGTTCATGACAGCCACACACGGGAAACAGCCCGGCTGACCATCCATGAAGGAAGAGACAAATAAAGTGTGGCCCATCCTTACCACAGAATATTATTTGGAAATAAAAAGGAATAAAGTACTGACATATGAACCTTGAAAATATCACGCTATGTGAAAAAGCTCGGTCACAAAGGTCCAGGTAAAGTATGACTTCATTTATATGAAAGGTCCAGAATGGGCCAATCTAGAGAGACCGGAAACAGACTAGCGGTTGCCTGGGCTGGGGTGAGGATGGAGGCAAACTGACAGCTGAGGGATGGGGTTTTTTTTTTTCCTTAGGAGCTAAAGGAAACGTTTTGAAATCGATTGAGGTGAGGGGGGCACAACTCTGCGACTGAACTGAGAGGAGTGGAGTTGTACACTTTCAATATATGGGAATTTTAACTCAATAAAACTTTCACCCCATTTCAACCACCCCAAAAAGAGACCCCTCTGCAAGTACTCAGCTCCCCCTGACTGGGATTGTGGGGCCTCTCTGTGTCCTCCGCACCACACAGCTCCCTGGGCCTCCCCAGGACACGGGCTTACATGCAAAAGGAGATGAGACACAAGCCTAGAGACAGTAGGGCCATGGCACCAGCCCCTCCAAGAGCCGCGGGAACCACTCGGGACACGCACACCGGCCTCTCTGCGGAAGAGAGAGGCGTGAGCACCCCCCCCCCCCCCCCCCCACCGGGCAGCGCTCAGTGACCGGTCTTCCCAGCCCCTTGCAGAACCGGCCACAGGTTCTGTTCAGACAGGAGATGGAGGGTCCACCGCTAGCAAGTCACACCTTCCCCGCCGCCCCTCCCCCGGCCCCGTCCCGGCTCGGGTCCCTGCCCGTCTCCCTAAGCCCCGGCCCCCAGCAGGCCCCTGACCTGGCAGCAGCAGGACGCCGCCGCTCTGCGCCCCGTGGACGTTCTCCGCCTCGCAGCTGAGCCGGAGGCCGGCGCCGAGCCCCGCGCGGAGGCTCAGGGAGCCGTTGGCCCAGGGCCCCGCGGAGCGGGAGGTGACCGCGTGGGAGGCGTTGCTGTGGTTCCCCGCCAGCAGCCCCTCCCCCAGCCGCCAGCGCAGCGAGGGGGCCGGCTGGCCCCGGGAGGAGCAGCTGCAGCGCAGACCCTGGTCCTCCCAGGAGCAGAAGGGTCCCAGCAGCCGTGGGGGGTCTGTGGGGAGCGAGGAGGAGGGTCGGTGGTGTCTCTTCCCGCCCAGAGCCCAGGCGCCCTGCTCCCAAAGGCCCCCACACTCACAGACCACGAAGAGGCGGAGGGGGAGAGTTCGGGAGCCCAGCCGGTTCTGAGCTCGGCAGGTGAACTGTCCTTCACCCCCAGTCCCCATGTGAGGCAGCTCCAAGACCCGGGTGCTGGAGATGGGGCCCGAGTTCAGGCTGGGGGACCCCCGGAACCAGCTCAGCTGTGCAGGGGGGTTGCTGTCAGCCACACAGAGCAGCCGCTGAGCCTCGCCCTCCAGGATGAGACGGGATGAGGTGTTTTGCAGAATCTTGAGGGCTTTGGGGAGAGAAAAGAGAAGGGGTGGACAGAAAGAGGGAGGGAGGGGGGGAGAGAGAGAGAGAGAGAGGGGACACAGGGCAGGCCCCCAGCCAGGTGAGGAAGGGAGGGTGGTGGTTCTCATCCTCGCCTCTCCCATATCTAATCCCATTCACGCTCTGACCCGCCCTGAGCTTCATGACAGCCCCAGGGGCAGGTCCCAGCCCCGGGGAGGGAGGTTCTTTCCTACCTGTGACATTTCTGAAGGACACGTCTATGGTGAGGTTCTGTGGGGCATCTGGGACAGAAAGATACGGCCCGTCAGAAGGAGAAGCAGATGGAAGTCGCCCCAAACCAAGGCGAGGCAGCGGGAACCGGGAAGGCGGGACTGCAGGCCTTCTGCCCCACTTCCCACCTGGCCTCCCGTCCGTGCACGGGTGCCCTCAGGTTAGCGCAGCCTCCGATACACGCACGCCCGTGAGTGCACGCAACAGTCCCACTGGAACAGCAAACCAGTCAGCCCTCCAACACTCACAGGAGACGTTGAGCCGGATGGTTCTCTCCTTAGTCACTGAAAATCCTTGGCATTGCACCTGACAGGTGAGGTTGGCGCCATGGTCCCGCGGGCTCGGGGTGAAGGTGAGCACCGAGGAGCGGAGGGACTGGGGGTCCAGGGAGTCAACAGCAGCCCCCGCCCAGGAGAAGGAGAGGCGGCGTGCCCCCTCGCAGGCCCCTGGCACGCTGCAGCTCAGCCGTGCGGGGCGCCCGGACTCCAGAGGCTCCGGAACGAGGATGTCTGGTTTGTCTGTCAGAGCAGAGTAGGAGGCAGGGAGGGGCTTGGGCCCTGGGTTTTGGGGACCCAGAGAGTGACCCACAGACAGACGCCCGACTCGGGGCCTGAGCTCACGGCCGGCCCTCTGTCTCACCCGAACACCCCCAGTCCAACGACTGGTCGGGGCTGTCCCAGCGTCCTGTTCCCGTTCTAAGCCCAGGCCCCACGTCTCAGTGTCCCCTACTGGGCCCGTGCCATACCTGTCACCTGCAAATTTAGCTTCTTATCTTGGTAAGTATATTTCACATCCCCTCGTTCCACTCGGAAGACGTAGGTCCCCGTGTCACTCTTCCTGGCGTTTCGGATCCTCAGGGAACAGTTGTCATTACTCTTGGGGTCTGTGAGGACGAATCGGTTCTGGGTCTCTTTCCTCACTTGCTTATACGAGTTGGTGGCCACAGGTTCCTCGTAGGGTCTGTCATGCCCATTCCGGTACCAGTAGGTGTAGAGTGTGTACGCGAACCACGAATTCCACGGGTAGGAGAAGGAGCAGGGCACGTGCACGGTCAGACCCTCCAGCACCCTCACGGATTCCTGCACTCGAAGCTCATAGCCGAGATGCTCCTGCAGGGACCCTGGGGGACACCGAGGCTCAGCTGCAGCCCCGGCCCCTCCCCCACCGGCCCGTCACCCCTCCCGCACCCACTCACCCCCCCACAGCAGGGGCAGCAGCAGCAGGGGCACCATGCCTGCACCTGACAGGGCAGAGCGGGTCCAGGTCCCTGTGTCGGGGAGGGAAATGGCCAGCTGTGGGGAGGGGCTGAGGGCGCCCCAACAGGAAGCTCCGGGTGACAGAGCTGTGGGCAGGCCTGGAAGGGGAACTTGGGCTCCGCGGGCCGAGGGGGGTGGGGTGGCCGCTGAGAGTTCATCCTGTCTCAGCCTCAGCCCTCTCCCGGGCCCTCCAAGGGGGTGTCCCCAGGTCCCCAGACGTTGAGAGCCTCGTCCAGATGGGAATGTGCAAGGGATCACCTTTGAGTCAAGAGGGAGGTCACCCGGGGGTCATCGTGGTCAGAGCTGGCCCTGGTCGCTCGGGGGGGGGGACCCGCCCTCCGGCTGAAGCCCCAAACGTCCCGGAAGACATCGTTTTCATGTCCTTAGGTGACTGAAGTGCTGGTAGGAGTATTCAGAATTTAGACCCAGCTGCAGAGGGGGGAGGAAACCAGGGGAAGCTGAGTGTTGCAGTGCTTTGCTCTCGGGGTTTTGGGAACACGAGATGCTCAAGCCATGGTCCTTCAGGGTCTCAGGGTCTGTGGCCCAGCGACGGTGCCCAGGCGCCGCCCACGCGGGGTGTGCGATGGCAGATCCCGCTCCACTGGTTCGTTGGGGACCCCACGTGCTGGCCCTCCGCGCTGCAGCACATTCGCTGCCTTAGAGCCCAGGAAGCTCCATCCTCAGGGCCCCTCAGGAGCTCGGTCCATTTTCAAGGCCCCCCCAGGGCCCCAGGGAGGGGTGGCAATAACCTGCAGTCCTGCTGCTCTTTCAGGAAAGAAAGACACGTGAACGTTCTCCCAAATATGACGATGCTGCGTGACAGGTCACACACCCCAGTAACAAGTTGCATGATTGCAAACAAACTTTCTTAAACCTTATGGGAGAAAAAGAAATGTCAATCAATGGTGCCAAGGGAAAGACTGAATTCTCTACTTGCCATGGTATGTAATTATAATATTGTTAAAATAATTAACAACGATTACCAATATGATATTAATACTTATTACTATAAGACCGAATTATCCTTCTATGAGGCAGAAATCAAACAGTATCAGTCAAAAAACACGGGGAACATGTGTCATGCAGGAGTGCCAGGTGGGAACGCCACACTACTAGCAAAAAGAGTCTGGAATTGCCTGAATTGGCTCACATTTTGGTTTTCACCCTTTGAGATTTTCTGGATGCGATGTGTTTTCTCAGTTTGGAAAAATTCATTGCTGCCGCACGTGGCTCTATTTTTTGAAGTGGTGATCTCAACACTAGTATAAATATCAGGCCCCACAAAGCCTGGACCTGCCCCTGCCGAGGGGAACAGGGGAGCCAGAGGGAACCAGCTCAGCCCCGCCCACCCGGACTCCTCCCGTACTGCAGAGGAGATTGTCTTGTGCAAGCAGAGGACTATGGGAGGCAGGATTTCCATGCTTGTGCCCCCACAACTCGCATCGCTGAGTGTTCTAGCAAACCTCAAGGAATGAGTGTCGCCAAGAATGTTCCGACCGGGCACCCTCTTGCACTGTAGGTGGGAGTGCGGGTTGGAGCAGCAGCTATGGACATCACTATGGCAGTGCCTCCAAAATAAAAATGGAGTTGCCCTAAGATCTAGCAATACCACTCTCGGTGTTTTTTGGAGGAAATGAGAACACTCGCTTGAGGAAACATGCGCACCCGTGTGTTCACTGCGGCATCGTTTGCAATAGCCAAGGTTGGAAGCAGCCTACGGCCCGCTGATAAGGAAGAGATGAAGAAAATGTGCTATATACACAATGGAAGGTGTTTGTGCCATGAAATAGAGGGAAATCTTGCCATTTGCAGTGACATGGATGCTCCCTGAGGGCATTAGACGAAATGAAACAAATCGAGCAGAGACAGGCAAATACCACGTAATTGCACTTCAATGTGAAAACTTTTTAAAAAATCAAACTGACAGATAGAGACGACAGATTGGTGGTGGCCAGAGGCAGAGGGTGCAGGGTGGGCCAAAGTGCACACATGCAAGTATAAGATCATTACGTCATGACGATGTAATGTTCAGCACAGTGACTGTGGTTAATCGTAGTGGGTAGTAACACCACTAGCTACAATAATATAGTTAATAGAACCCCATTGTATATTTAAGAATGGCTGAGAGATCACATGGCTAAGAGGTAATATTTTAAAACTTCTCATCACAAGTAAAAAGTGTGTAATTCTGTGTGGTGATGAATATATTGTTGTGAGCACATCACAATATAAACATCTATCAGATCATTAAGTTAGACTTTAAACTGCAGTAATGTTCTGTGTCAATTATAACACACACACACACACACACACACACACTGAAGTAGCTCAGGCAGGGCGCTTGGATTAGTTTAGGGGTTTCAGGTCTTCCAGGCGGAGGTCCACTTTGGCCCCATGTGCGCTCCAACAGCAGCCGAACAAATTCCTCACGTTAAATTCCCGCTGCTGAAATCCACACGGGGGTTTCTGTGTTCCCGATTTGCCCCTGACTGAATCTCAATAGGTAAAACAATGAGCAGTGGGTGATTTCAGTTGTCTTCCGGATAAAACTCACAGTCGGCTAGGAACAAAGGAGACCGTCCCCGATGCCACACGGGTTGTGCGGCACCATCATACCTAATGCAGTAGCATCAGGTCCTACTCTCGAAAGGCTACAACCCTCAGTAAAAGTGAGGAAAACTTTAAACAAAGCAAAGCTGTCTTTCTTTGTCAATGATCGCATATATAGCAAAATCTACAAGGATACACAGATATATTTGGGAGCTTAATAAGGAAGTTAGCAAGGTTGCTAGAAACAAAATAAATTTACAAAAATCAAATGCAGTCCTATACCACAGTAATAAACAAAGAATAGGATAGTCTACAAGATGCCATTGGCAATAGCATCGAAACTTACGATGTACGTGGAATATAGTATTTAGAGATGCACATGACAGAGATAAAATGACACTTCCTCACTGGCGGAAATTGCAGACCCATATGAAAGGACCTGAAAGATGTAAATAAATATAAAAATAGGCATGTTGATAGATATTAAAGAAACAGGATTGTATAAAAGCCTAGTCTACCCAAATTACCCTGCCGAATCAAAGCAACATGTGACTCTGTGACTCTATCTCCCCGTTGAGTTTGTGGAACTTGGCGCCTCTAGTATAAAAGTTACATGGAGGTAAGTTTTTCCACGTGCAGCCACGGCAATCATGACGAACAGCGTATGAGGACTGGCTCTGAAAGATGTGAAGTCACATGAAAATGTTATAGAAAATAAGACAGTATTGTAGTGACACGGAGTTGCACCGCTAGACCATGGGGAGAGAGCACGGCACCCAGAACACCGTAGACCGAACCACAGGATACATCACGCATGAGACAGGCGGCGATGCAGACGGTGGCAAAAAGATACACTTTTCCATATATCTGGGCAACCAGGGACCTGAATGCAGTGGAATGAGACTGCACACCTAGCTCTCACGATGCACTAAAAAGTCAACGCAGGCCAATTGAAGATCTATTGTTCTATGACAGGAAACGCAATTGAGCTGTTAGGAGAATGTCTAGCAGGATGTCTCCATCAATCTCAGTACTGTAGGGTTTCTGAGCAAGAGACATGATTAGCACTATTTATAAAGAAAAACATTGAAAATTGTCACTATGAAAATATTAAGGACTCTTCAGAGGAGACACCATAGGTAGTGCTAAATCGTCAGCCAGAAAGGGAGAGAACAGGTTCACAACACATGGGAGCATCAAAGTATCAGTCTCCGGGATAAGGAAAAGTTTCAGCAACCTGTAAAAGCTCCCAAAGCACAGAACTATGGGCTCGCTGGAGCTGCACGTCAGAATATAGAGCGAACAACCGTTAAAGTGCACATTAAAACCCCACCAAGACACTGTTACACTGGCTGCAAGTAGCAAAGGTTAACATCTCTGAAAACACCCGTGTTAGGGACATCATAGGGCGACAGTCGCTGACACGCAAACAGAGAGCAGCGCTTCAGAGGAAACCAGCATCCTCTGCTGCACTGAGGACGGCCAACCCCACGCCAGCAATTCCCCTCCCCAACTTCCGAGCTGCCGCAGGGTGGCCCACGTGACAGCCCTCGCCACCGAGGCAGGTGACCATGTGAAGGGTGGCTGTAAGGATGAGAGCAGTAAGGGGCCGGACGATGGGCGATAAGGCTAAAAGCACACACTGGGTTTGCAAGGCTCACCACAAGATAATGAATGTAAACTGTTTTGGTATCTGAGACCGAGTTCAGTGCAGTGGGGCTGGGGATCTTCTCCCACACCACCCAGTAACCGACTCCACTCTGACACTCCCTCCCTGGCCACGGCCTCAGATTCCTCAGGGTACAAGGTCAGTTCTTAGCATTCCCTCCCAGACCCCCCATCAGATGCCAGTCTCGAGAGGCACAGTTGTCACCTGTGTTTCTGACCGACCAGTTCTGAATCAGAGGTGCCCACGACCTCTCCCTGTGGATTCCTTCACTCGCCAGAGCGGCTCACAGAGCTCGCAGGACTTGTTCCTCGCTAGATCACAGGCTTATTATTAAAGAACAGGACTCAGGGACCCATCCCGAAGGAAGGGATGCGGAGGGCGGGGTGTGCAGTGGGGGCGTGGAGCCTCCCTGGCCTCTCCGCCGGCCCCTCTCTCCCAGCACCTACGCGTGTTCACCAACCAGAGCTCTCCAAATGGTGTCCTTTGGGGTTTTAGTGGAGACTTCCTTGCATAGTCATATTTATGCATCCCCGAACATCTCGGATTGACCCCACGCAGCCCCCCAACCCGGCCCCGGTCCACATCCTCTCTGGCCTCACACCACCTGACACCAGAGACACCCCTCACGCTAGGGGTTGCAGACGTGGTCCCAACACAGCCTCGTCCCCTGGGCCCATCCTCTGTCCTCTGTCCTGTGGGTCAGGATGAGGAAACAATGGGGCGGCGAGGGGCGAGGGAGGTGCCACCACAGCCACAGATAAGGACAGACGGGCAGAAGAGGAAATCTCCCTCTAATCGGCTCTCGGGGCAGAGAGGACGCCGGGCTGACCCAGCTCCGAGCTCCACCCTAATACAACGCACAGCAGTGACCTGGGGCAGAGGGCGGGGGGCATTTCCACATTTGAGAAGGGCCCCAGAATTCATCACAGAGAAGAGGGAGCGTTTTTGTCAAATAACCTAACGATCACAGTTTTTCTAGCGGTACAATCCACATGATATGAAATTACGAATGCTAATGTTGCTTGCGTTAACTTGGAGACGTCTGCCACCTCACTTCCCCCCTCGTTTCTCTTCCGCAGGCCAACTGCTCTCCTTCCCACGCTGCCCGTGGGAATCTGATGTGGAGGGTTCGCAGTGACTGGCGCACTACTGCACAAGCAAAACCCTACCAGCCGAAGCGAGTCTCTTTCTTATTTACATTTGACTTTTCAATTGTAGGTTCAGGTGGACGACATGGCAGTCAGACAATCACATACTTTACAAAATGACCTTGGAATCCTCAGTATCCATCTGGAATAACTCATAGGTGTTTTTTTTTTCCTCAACTTTATTGTTGACACCATCCCAAATGCCCCACCCGTTGGCCACCCCAACCCAGCTCCCCCACCCCCCTTCTCTCTGGCCGTCACCACACTGCGGTCTCTGGCTGCCGGCCATGCGTACGTGTTCTTTGGCTCATCTCTTCACCCTCTTTCAAACAGTCCCTCCCCACATACTTTTATTGACGATGTTCCCGCTCTGACTGTTCTATAGGGTGTTTCTATAAATCAGCTTCTCAACCAGCATCTTCCTCATTCATATCCTGGACTGAAACCAAGGCCAAGGCCACCCTCAGCTGGACACAGTGCGTTCCACATTTGTACGTTCCAGGATGGTCTCACAGGAGGCCCTCTCCATGGGAAACAGGCACCTCCTGGTTCCCTACTCTGATGCCAGTCCTCAGAGGAAAAGGGCGAATCGGGTGGTCCTTCAGGAGCTCACATTGACTTGGATCTTGTTTTGTGCCTTTGGGATCTAGACTCTGGGAGACCCAAGAACGGGTTCATTGCAAACATTCGTTACAGGTTTGGGCCAGAACCGTTCGCTTAATCACAGTCATTCTCAGAATCCCACAACCAGGCTCAAGAAACTCCCACAGACACTAAAGCAACAGTAAAGGCAACTCATATGTTGTACACTTCATTCGATTTTTATTTACCGTTAAAGAGTAATCATTACAAGGTAGGTGACTTTGAATGGAAAGAGAGAGCTGCGCTCCTGACCCGAGTGCCTACAGATGGCTACGGTGACGGGGCAGCGTAGGAGACTAGAAACGCGGGTGTTCACCGGGTAACCTCTGGGCAATGGGAGGCTAAGGCCCCACGGTCGTTCCCCTCCGGGGCCTGGGGATGGAGAGAGAGGAGCAGGGCGTGGGGGAGGGAGGACAAGGCAAACGGGAGCCGGACAGGCAGCAGCAAAGGGGGCTCACGGGTGTGTATCGCTTATTGTCCGTTTTCTGTATCTTACGCTGTTCGACATCTTACAAACCTCGCTAACCAAGGAGAGACAGCCCCTCCCAGGACGGGCAATTCTCAGGGAGGGAAGGAGCTCTGCCAGGAACAGCCTGTCAGGTGTAAACTGCCCCATCCTCTGCCCATATTCCCCAGCCACCCCAGCTTGCCCTCAATCACCCAGCGCCTGGCACCCGGGAGAGGGAGACCCCCCCACAGGCACTAACCCCCCTCATTTATTCATACTGGCTGATCCGAACTGCTCACCCTGCCCTGCCTTGCATTTCCTATGGAAACCCCAAGAAAGGCGCTGGCTCTTCTGCCTCCCGCTTGCACCTGCTCCCCGAGGAAACCTGGCGCTCCCCCCGGGGCCCTGCCTGGCCTGGTGGGGCCTCCTCTCAGGGAGTGAAATGAATACAAATCTCTTTTCATTGGCATTGACTCTCCTGGTCCTCACTCCGTCACTTACACAAACTCCAGTCCCAAGGGTACGATTGAGACAGGCGAGTCAGGAGTTTCCAGGGAGAAGGCGACGCTGATGTCCCACAACCACCCCCCTGGACTCCGTGTCACGCCACAGGGCCGTCGTCACAGGAGGGGAGCGTCAGTCAGGGCTCGGCTCTGTTCTCTCGGGGCCTCCGCACCTGTGGAGTCAACACAGGTCTCAGCTCAGGGCCTCGGCCACGTGAGCTCCAACTCCAGGCGGGCGGGGCCGCTCAGCCCCTCCTGGCACCCGGGCCAATCTCTGCCCTTCCCTGTGGGGAGACAGCGCTGCTCACCTGGTGTAGTAGAGCCGGGTGAGGCCGTAGGTGAGGAGGAAGCCAGTCCCCATGAGGGCCCCTCTGATCAGGGTGAGGACCAGGGGCCAGGAGCCCTGCTGCTCCCCAGTCACACACCTGCAGGACGGAGGCCTTCCTGGGGGAGAGGAGAGGAGGGCACAGGTGTGGCCCCAGGTCTCCGTCCTGCCCTCAGGCCCAACACGTGGCCTGGATGCCGCCCCCCGCACCTGTCCTGCACTCACTCTGCACAGAGAGGCTGAAGGAAACGTGCTGGGAGCCCAGCGGGTGCCGAGCGCGGCAGCTGAACTCCCCTCCGTCTCCAGCCCCAACGGGGGGCAGCTCCAGGACCCCCGGTGCTGACAGCTGGGTCGTGGTCAGGGCTTTCCCGTCCAGCGACCAGTGCAGCGTGGCAGGGGGGTTGCTGTCAGCCACGCAGACCAGGCGCAGGGACTCGCCCTCCAGGACAGGCAGTGACGTGAGGTTGCTGAGGGTCTTCAGAACTGGGGGGGAGACACACAGCATGTGGGTTAAGGGACAGTGACCCTGGAGGTCAGGCCTGGCTACCATGAAGGAAGGGCTGAGCCGGGGTTGGACGGATGAGAAGGGGGGGGCGGCCCCGGTGGAGATGGGTCAGGAACTGGGGGAGCCCGGCAGCTGAGGGGAATCACACCAACACCTGAAATCGGCAAGAGGCCCGGCTGCGCCATGACAAGGTGAGAGAGAGGGGGACAGAAGGCAGGGCCAGAAGTTCCGGGGCCTTGAGCTCCAGGCTGAGGGCCCTGGGCTGGGCCCTGGGCTCCCTGGGTAAGAGTAGGGGGCTGTGCCCGGGGGACACAGAGTCAGTGCTGAGTCCGGGGAGAGCCTGCTGAGCCAGGTGGGGCCTGGACCCGCCAGACGAGACTGGAGGCAGGGAGGCTGAGCCGGGGCCCGAGCCGTGGGGCCCAGGGTCGAGGACAAGCGTGGAGCTGGTTCTGGGGCCAAAGGCAAGGAGAAGAGGGAAGCGATTTGAGAAGTGAAATTGCCCAGACGCACTGACTCCGGTGCTCGTGGTGAGAGCGAGTCGCCTAGAGCGAGTCAGACCTCGCCGGGGCTACGTGTGGTCCCGGGGCAGCTGCGGGGCAGCAGCAAGAGGCGGCTGCCTGTGCCCATCTGTGGCCGGATAGGAAGCATCAGGATTGGTCAGGATAGAGGCAGGATCACAGGTGGATTCATGGGAAGGGATGAGCACGCGTGGGAAAGTGGGGAGAGATTGAACCGGGTCCAGGGAGCAGCTATGGGGAATGGGAACGTGAAGATTCCTGGAGAAAATGTCCAGATCGCAGCCGAAGGAGGGCGCGTGTCGGAGGAGGTGAGGGCAGAGAGGAAATTTAAAAAAGGGGGCAGGAAAAAGGAAAGGGAGCAGGACCTGGAGTTGCCACCATCCCAGAGACAGAAAGTGGAGGGCATTTGCCAGGGGCTGCAGGCGGAGAGGGGGATGGGCAGATAGTATCGAACGAACGGAAACAGCGTTTCAGAACTTGAAAGACATCTGCTCAAGGGTTGCCCCACCCAGCGCAGGCCCTAACCCCGCTGAACTGTTCCCTAAGAGTGGGCCAAGATAGGTAATGGCGTGTTGTGTGTGCTTTCCCAAATGGAAAAGTGAAAACGTGAGAAAAGAGCAGAAAGCAGCCAAAAGCAGCAGAAAGTCCATAAATGTGAGATGATGGTGAGGTGCTGGGGGCAGAGCCGACCCAGGGGGCACAGAGGTGAGGAAGGAGGAGTCACCTCCAACCTGGACCTTCAGCTGGGAGACACCCCGCTCCCCTCGCATCTCCAAGGAAGAGGGGTGTCTCCTACCTGTGGAGTTGCCCTGGGAAAGGCTGATGGTCAACTGAGGAGCATCTGAAAAAGAAAAACATGCTGAGAGCCAAGGGGACATTTGCCATTTGACCCAGGATTCCCCTAAGGGGAATGGGTGAAGCTTTACTTCACCAGTGGCCTCTTGGAAAGGGACCCCTAGGCCCGGATGCCCCTCCAGTCCCCATTGACCCTACAGACCCAGCCAACACGCCAACACTCACAGGAGACATTGAGCCGGATGGTTCTCTCCTTAGTCACTGAAAATCCTTGGCATTGCACCTGACAGGTGAGGTTGGCGCCATGGTCCCGCGGGCTCGGGGTGAAGGTGAGCACCGAGGAGCGGAGGGACTGGGGGTCCAGGGAGTCAACAGCAGCCCCCGCCCAGGAGAAGGAGAGGCGGCGTGCCCCCCTCGCAGGCCCCTGGCACGCTGCAGCTCAGCCGTGCGGGGCGCCCGGACTCCAGAGGCTCCGGAACGAGGATGTCTGGTTTGTCTGTCAGAGCAGAGTAGGAGGCAGGGAGGGGCTTGGGCCCTGGGTTTTGGGGACCCAGAGTGTGACCCACAGACAGACGCCCGACTCGGGGCCTGAGCTCACGGCCGGCCCTCTGTCTCACCCGAACACCCCCAGTCCAACGACTGGTCGGGGCTGTCCCAGCGTCCTGTTCCCGTTCTAAGCCCAGGCCCCACGTCTCAGTGTCCCCTACTGGGCCCGTGCCATACCTGTCACCCGCAAATTTAGCTTCTTATCTTGGTAAGTATATTTCACATCAGCTCCTCGTTCCACTCGGAAGACGTAGATCCCCGTGTCACTCTTCCTGGCGTCTCGGATCCTCAGGGAACAGTTGTCATTACTCTTGGGGTCTGTGAGGACGAATCGGTTCTGGGTCTCTTTCCTCACTTGCTTATACGAGTTGGTGGCCACAGGTTCCTTGTAGGGTCTGTCATGCCCATTCCGGTACCAGTAGGTGTAGAGTGTGAACGCGGGCCACGAATTCCACGGGTAGGAGAAGGAGCAGGGCACGTGCACGGTCAGACCCTCCAGCACCCTCACGGATTCCTGCACTCGAAGCTCATAGCCGCGCTGCTCCTGCAGGGACCCTGGGGGACACCGAGGCTCAGCTGCAGCCCCGGCCCCTCCCCCACCGGCCCGTCACCCCTCCCGCACCCACTCACCCCCCCACAGCAGGGGCAGCAGCAGCAGGGGCACCATGCCTGCACCTGACAGGGCAGAGCGGGTCCAGGTCCCTGTGTCGGGGAGGGAAATGGCCAGCTGTGGGGAGGGGCTGAGGGCGCCCCAACAGGAAGCTCCGGGTGACAGAGCTGTGGGCAGGCCTGGAAGGGGAACTTGGGCTCCGCGGGCCGAGGGGGTGGGGTGGCCGCTGAGAGTTCATCCTGTCTCAGCCTCAGCCCTCTCCCGGGCCCTCCAAGGGGGTGTCCCCAGGTCCCCAGACGTTGAGAGCCTCGTCCAGATGGGAATGTGCAAGGGATCACCTTTGAGTCAAGAGGGAGGTCACCCGAGGGTCATCGTGGTCAGAGCTGGCCCTGGTCGCTCGGGGGGGGACCCGCCCTCCAGCTGAAGCCCCAAACGTCCCGGAAGACATCGTTTTCATGTCCTTAGGTGACTGAAGTGCTGGTAGGAGTATTCAGAATTTAGACCCAGCTGCAGAGCGGGGAGGAAACCAGGGGAAGCTGAGTGTTGCAGTGCTTTGCTCTCGGGGTTTTGGGAACACAACATGCTCAAGCCATGGTCCTTCAGGGTCTCAGGGTCTGTGGCCCAGCGACGGTGCCCAGGCGCCGCCCACGCGGGGTGTGCGATGGCAGATCCCGCTCCACTGGTTCGTTGGGGACCCCACGTGCTGGCCCTCCGCGCTGCAGCACATTCGCTGCCTTAGAGCCCAGGAAGCTCCATCCTCAGGGCCCCTCAGGAGCTCGGTCCATTTTCAAGGCCCCCCCAGGGCCCCAGGGAGGGGTGGCAATAACCTGCAGTCCTGCTGCTCTTTCAGGAAAGAAAGACACTTAATAAACACCTTCTCAAATATGACGGCGAGATGAAGAAGTCCCACATTCCAGTAACAAGCTGTGTCACTGAAAAAGGGATTCTTAAACTGCACAGGAGAAAAAGAAATGTCACTCAAAGCACAGAGTGAAAATCGAATTCTCTTCCTAGTCTCTGTTTAATACAAATATAATTAATAACAGTTACTAATATAACATTAATATTTATTACTATAAGATGGAATAACTCTCCTGTGAACAGGCAATCTAACAATCTCTGTCAAAAGACATGGGAACGTGTGTCTTGCAGGTGTACCAGACAGGAGCACCACACTGCTAACGAAAATAGTCTGTGATTGTCTCAATTGTCTTATATATTTTTTTTTTTAGCATTTTAGATTTTCTTCCTTGCTGTTATGTGTTTTCTCATATCAGAAATATCCATGGGTGCCACATGTTGCTCTTTTTGAAAGCAGTGATCATAACATTAGTATAACTATCAGGCTCCCCAAAACCTGGGCTACCCCTAAGCCAGGACACATGGGAACCAGAGGGAACCAGCTCCACCCCCCAACCACGCTGGACTCTATATGCATTGCAAACAAGACAGTCTCGTGCAAGCAAAGGGCTAAAGGAAGCAGCATTTCCACGGTTGCATCTCCACAATTCACATCGCTGAGATGTGTAGCGAATCTCAAGCAGAAGTATGAAAATGACAAGAAATAATAAGTGTCAGCAAGAATGTTCAGAAAAGGGAACCCTCTTGCACTGTTGGTGGGAATGCAAGTTGGTCAGCTGCTATGTAAACCAGTATGGCGGTTCCGAAAAACTACAAATAGAACCGCCCTGAGATCCAGCAGTTCCCCTGCTGGGAATTGCTTTGGCCGAAGTGAAAACACTCACTTGAGAACACATAAGCAGCCTTATGTGCACTGCAGAATCATGTACAATTGCCATGACCTGGAAGCAACCTGAGTGTCCATTGATAGATGAAGGGATGGATAACATGTAGTATATACGCAATGGAACATTATCGTGCCACAATGCTAAGTGAATTGAAATGACAGAGAAAGACAAGTAGTGTATGACCACACTTGTATGTGAGACTTTTTAAAAAATCAAACTCATAGAGAGAATAGGTAGGGAATTGCCAGAAAAAGAAAGCGGGTGCAAAATAAAAAGACAACCCACAGAATGAGAGAACATATTCATATGGAAAGATGCTCAACATCACTAATCGTCAGAGAAATGCCAATTAAAACCACAATGAGATATCACCTCACACCTGTCGGAATGGCTGCCATTGATCAGTCCACAAACAGCAAGTGCTGGCGAGGATGTGAAGAAAGGGAAACCCTTTGCACTGTTTGTGGGGATGCAGACTGGTGTCACCACTGTGAAAAGCAGTATAGAGTTATCACAAAAAATTAAAAATGGATCTATCTTTTGGCCCAGCCATCCCACCACTGGGAATATACCCAAAGGAACTCAAAACACTAATTCGAAAGAACATAATCACCCCTGCGTTCTTTGCAGTGTTATTTGCAATCATCAAGATATGGAAGCAGCTCAAGTGTCCATCTGTAGATGAGCAGAAAAACAACTATGGGACATTTACACAATGGAATGCTACTCAGCCACTAAGGAAGAAGAAAAATTTACTTTTTGTGACAATATGGGTGGCCCTGGAGAACATTATGCTCAGTGAAATAAGCCCATCAGAGAAAGACAAGTACCATATTATTCCACTCATAGGTGGACTCTAATGAACTAACTGCACTAACAAGCAAAGCAGAGACAGACTCATAGGTGGAGAGCAGATGGCAGCTGGTGGGGGGTTGGGGCTCGAGGGAAAAGGAAACAGGGCTCCTGGACGCGGACCACAGTGTGGTGGCTGCAGAGGAAAGGGGAGGCATACGGGAAGGAAATGGTATTGAAAAACGGCAATAAAAAATTTAAAAGTAAAAATTTAAAGTATCAAACTCGTAGATAGAGAAGACAGATGGGTGGTTGCCAGAGGAAGAAAATAGGGGTAAGGAAAAATGGGTGAGGTGGTCAAAGGGGCAAAACTCGCCGTCCTAAAATAACTGAATGCTGAGCACATAAGGTCGAGCATGGTGACTGTAGTTAATCATAGTGGGTGTCAGTACTATTAACGATAATAATGTAGTGAATAATGTGTTTGTGTATTTGAAAATTGCTATGAGGGAAAATTGTTAAATGTTGTCCTTACGAGAGAGAATGTGTGTGATGCTATGTGGTGATGGATGTTAACATGACGTACTGTGGTGAGCACCTGGCGACACACACACATATTAAACCATTAAGTTATATGTTGGGTCAAGTCCCTATGCCCTCCCCGCTCTGGGTGCCACACACCCCATCCCCCACACCCCCTTCCACAGCCCACCCCAGTGAGGACCCGTCATACCCGGAGATGTAGGGTGGCCCTGTGCCCGCATCTGGGCCCCTCTCGTGCTTGGGAACCACTGACGGTCTTGGAGGGCTCGGTGGGGGGTGCCCTGGCCCTCTACTTGCACATGTGACTCTGTTCCCTGTGCGCCCTGGAGCCGCCATGTGACCATGGTCTTTCCCAGAACCAGCAGCATGAACAAGAGCTGAGTTTCCCTGGGAGCCCTGCGGGGCGCACGGTGCGAGGAGGCACAGGCCTGTCTGCACTGTGAGATGGACGCCGTGCTGGTGGAGGGTGACGCAGGGTGAAATCTTGCCAGTAAAGTCTGAATGTCATACTCCCTCTCCAGACCCCTGTGCCCAGACGCCACGGTCCCCAGCTGTGGGTGTCAGGTCTGAGTCAGCAGGAGAGAGGAGACAGAGACACTGCTCAGAAACATGACACCTGGAGTTGTCATGGAGTTGTCATGGAGTTGTCATGGAGTTGTCCTTCGTGCCAACTCAACCCTCTGGCTGAGGCTCCGACCCTACCTGTCCCACCCACAGAGGGAGTTCTGTCTTTGTGGCAGTTTCCCCTAAGCAGCCTTCTCCTCCTGAAGGAGCAATGTCCTGCTCTCCCCATCCTGACACCTCTGTTTCTCAGGTGAGAAGTGCCTTGTGTCTCTGAAGCCACGGCTCCTCTTCCCTAGGATTTGGAGGTGTTCAGGGGGATGCTGAGGAGGAGCTTGGGTGCACCTCCGTCCTGTAGGACAGAATGCCATCAGCCTCATTCCCCAGCCCTACCTCCAGGGGGCGCCCCATCCTCCGTGCCAGTCCTGCCAGCTCCCGCACAGCGGTGTGGCGCTGCCTTTGGTCCTGGAGCACAGCCGGGTCAGCTCTGCCAAGGACCCCGGCTCACAGGCAGGAGGGCCCGAGCCTTCTCTTCGATGAGCGGTGCACCTACGTCGGAGGGGTTCGGAAAGGCTGGGTCCCTCTTCGCAAGGAGGAGTCAGGAGAAGGCGTGGCAGTGGGCGGGGTTCATGTCTGTGCTTTTCGTCGCAGCCCTCTGATTTGTCTTCTTGCTATTTAATAATGTTATTCTTCCTTCAAATTAGTCCGCCAAAGATGGCTGTTGGAACGAAAATACTCCCTGGTTTGAAATATTTTTACATGTATTGGTTATGAAAATATATTTATCGTTCACACTATGTAAGCCTTATATATTTATTATAGTTTATATTATATAAATATGTTATAAATATTATAATTAATACATAACTATTATAATATATTGTAATTTACCATATTGTATATTAATATTATAATAGCCTATGTTTATAGGTATTGTAAATATATGATATGATTCCTTCTTAATATAATTTATATTATAGAAATGTATTTTACACTGTGGGGTCATATCTCAAGTCAAGAATGAAACATGAAGGCTCCCCAAGAGCCTCAGAATTTCTCTTTGTTCTCGTTTCTCTCTAAACCCCTTGTGGGTTATCACCATATTGACGCCGGGGGTCCTACGTTTCTGCCTTTGCTTATAGGCATAGCACCTACATATCTATTCTTCCACAAAACAGTTGCTCTAGAACTTCCCATAAATGTAAGGATGTAGTGGTGCGTATTTTGTACAACCTTAATAGGCTTCCTCCAGCTTTCCATTTATTAATGTGGCACAGTATACAATCTTCTCGTCTCTGACTGTGGACATTTTCTGTCCTTGTGTTTTTGATGCGTATCTTATAAAGAGCACATGATTAATCCAAGCCAACCTTCTGTTTCTAACGGAAGGTTTTATCCAATTGTAGTCAACATAAGATGCCTACTTTATATTTCTTTTACATATGTGCTAAATATGCCACATACTTTATCTCTTCAGTCCTGTCTTCTTTGGATTCACTAAGTGTTTAACTGTTTCTAGCCCATTGGACATTATGATTCTATTTGTGTAATGATTACCCTAAAACTGACTGCATACATAATTAACTTACCAAAGTTTTAGGAAATGAAAAATCTCTCTCTTCCTAGATAATATGTGAATCCTAGAAGTTGTATACCCATTTATCCCACCACAACCGCTTTGGGCTTAGCTGTTATTTTTGTCAACTGTTTTAAAACTATATTTTTATTCTACTTGCAATGGCTTTCCCCATTTCTTCCAAAGGATCCGTATTACTTCCTCATTTTTAAATTATGTCTACTGAAGATAGAGTCTAAAGCAATATTTAAAGATAGTATTTGTATTCTTCTGATTTCCATGGTTACTACAGATATTTCAATTTTAAAAAATGCTCCTCTTTTGAATGTAATCTGTTTTTCCCCCCTGTGGTTACTGTTCAAATTTCCTCATCTCTGGTTTTCTTTGACTCACGCTTACCCCATTACAGACTCGGTGTGGGAATGGTCTCCTTCCAAACTCTGCACCTTGGGCAGGGACAGAATCCTGACTTTCATTTCCAGGCCACGAAGGACGCACAGCCAAAGCTCACATGACCGGTACAGGCCAAAGCCATTGGGAACTTTGGTATCTTGCCTTAGAAAGCCTGTCTCATTTTCTGTATTCAAGCAATTCCCCAACTGCTAGCCTAATAACCTCCCATTTCCTCTTCATTCTATACTTTTACAATGAGGAATTTTATTTTTTCTATTTACTTTATTTTCCAAAGAATTTTGTTATTTTCAGCCCAAGTCTTGAGCAGAATGGTGAACCAGTTTTTACCAAACGAGCCACAACTCACCTTCGTAGGGCACTGATTTGGGGTTTGTGTGGTGGATGCAGGTAGCTGAAGCCCTCCGAGTTCCACACTGCAATTGTCCCCTTTATTTCCTCAGGGCCACTTTCTAAAGTTCTGGAAGTCAGTCACCTGCGTGCAGGTGTGTTTTGTGTCACTGGGGCCTCACCTGGGCCGGTACTACCTGAGGATGCCCCGCAGACGTTTCACGCACCGCAGCCAATGCTGTGGCTGGACCCGCCCTGTGGTTCTTATTATAAAACACACTCCAGCAACAACCATTAGGGAACTTGGAAAAAACATGTCTTTTACGGTCATCTCACATTATTATCTGCTGTTGTGCTTTCCACAACTTCAGTTATCCGTGGTCCACCACGGTCCAAAAACACTAAACGGAAGATTCCAGAAGGCAACCCTTCATGCTTTAAATTTTGCCGTTTTCTGAGTGGTGTGATGAACCGGTACTGCCTCTGTCTGTCCTGCAAACATGAACCGACCACACACTGGATACACTGCCCACTTGTAAGCCACGTGGTACCCGCGTAGGATATCAGAGCTCCTGCTCCAGTGTCTGGGGGCTTGTGGTCTGGTCACTGTCCTGGTAGCCCCACGCTATGTCCCAATGCCTGTGGCACTGGCCTCCCTACATCTCACCATGGGGGCGTTGAGACACCTCACAACAGCACAGGAAGAGCGGTGAGAGCAGCACAAGACGATACTGTGAGAGGGCGAGAGGCCACAGTCACAAAGCCTTCGTCACAGCGTGCTGTTATCATTCTTCCCTTTGAATATTAGTCATTGCTGGTAACCCTTCATTGTGCCTAATCGACAACTTAAACTTTTTCATAGGTTTGTGCAGAGGAAATGATGTGTATGTAAGATTTTGAACCATCTGCGGTTTCAGGCATGAACTGCGGGTCTTGGGACATCTCTCCCAAGGTAAGGGACGCTAAAGTACTCACAACGAGCTTATTGATAGGCACTTAACGCTACGGTACAGCTCCTGAATTTAGGCTGGTTTTGTTTTAGAACTTTCTTTAAAAAATTAAATCAGATCAACTATATAGAGGAGGGAGAATGTGAGCTCTTCCTTCAGTCCACCCTTTCAGCCCACGTGGGACCAAGAGCACAGGATGGGGGGCGCCAGATGAACGCGAGGGGTCTGGCCCCCGGGAGGGAGATCTCATGTTGCTAAGACTTTCCTATGAACCTGCAGGAAAGGTTTAAGAAACAAAGGCCGCGAGGAGAGGGTGGGTGAGGAAGTAAATTCCAGGGAAGAGGCCTGGGTGCATCGTCTAAGGCCGGAGTCAGGATGGGGTTTGTGTCGGACAGAAGCAGGGTCAGCACTCTGGTGTGTCTGGTTTTACGGCGGAGAATAAACCCGGCCAGGAATCGGGAGGCCCGTGAGCAGCACTGTGACACCCTAACTGTGACACCCTACGTGGTGCTGGAAGCCAACCAGAAACACTGCGGGTCACAGCAGAGCTCTGAGGTGGTTGGAACCTCTCCTTCAGCTTCTGCTTCCTCTTTGTGAACACAGCGTCCTTTCCCAGGGTGTGCATGTGGCTCACTGTGGCTGCCGCGTCTGTGCTGCAGCTGTGTTCTTATCTCTGAAAAAATCCTTTTTGTTGAAGAAGTGCCTAGTCAGCTCCTGTTGACAGTTGGCTGGCTGTTGGAAAGGTCCCCGCGGGGCCATCAGTGGGATGGGGAAGGGACGGGGGGTCAGAAGGTGCTGGAAGAATGCACGGGTGAAAGTGAGGAGAGAGGTCCCCAGAAATAAGATAAGAGACCACGTCAGGAACTGAACACCAGGCTGACGATTTTGTCTTCCCCTGCAGAGGCTTTGAAGAGTTCTGGGATGACAAGTGACACCAACAAGGTGACACCCTGTTTTCTATGGCTGGTCACCCCCAGCTCCAGGAGAACTTGCGACCTGGACCCTTCTGTTCCAAAAAGAGAGACAAGCAAGCTCTGGACCTCTGTTGGCTGTTAATTTCTTTAATGCTCACAGCCACCGCTCACTAGGATGCATCATCTCTGCTGTAGAGAATGAGAAACAGGAAGAGAAAAAGAAAGTGAATCGCTTGGAGACAATGCCGTAGCAAGTGCTGAGGCCTGCACTTGAGCCCAAGTCTCCCTCCAACCCCACCACTTTCCTTCTTTCTGCTTCGCCTGCGGAAGCTCATGCAGTGGTTGAGCTGATGTTGCGCAAAGTCTCCTCATGCTTCCCCAAGTGGTCCCTGACTCCCTTCCCCCAGAGGAGCTGTGATGCTTTCAGTCAGGACCAAGCTCCGAGCAAGTCCTCATTTGTGTGTCTTCTTGATCACTGAGTACTCGCAGGTGCTGGTGGCCTTCTCATCCGGAGGCTCCCATGGATTCCCTCTGTGAAACCTGAGGTTGGCGTACTGGGCATCCTCCTCCTCTCTCGATGGAGAGGCATCTCTCGTGGGCAACACTTGGTCTGGAGGCCTGTCTCGTTTGGGGTTTCTCTGCGAACCCTGAGGAAAGGGGAGAGAACAGCGACTCAGAGAAAAATGAAACAGACATAACCTCAAGGGGAAGTTGGGCTGGCGGTAGTTTTTCACTCATCCTCTTATTCTACACACACTCCTCATGATCTCAACTATTTGCTCATTCGTTCTAAATTGTGTCCTACTACAATTGATTAGACGATAGGAGGGTTGCTGATCACAGCTCATCCTCACAGAAACCAAGGATCAATGATAGTCTTATTGTGTCCATTTGTAGACAGTGAAACTGAGGTGAGGATAGGTGGAGTAACCTGCCCAGAACGGGTAGAGAGTGGTAGTTTTGGAGAGGCGGCTCTGACAGGCTTTACTGCGCAGAGAGGCGAGGTGGGCTCAGCGGTCAGCGGGCCTGGGGCAGGAGGCCGACCGTGGGCTCTGGGAAACGAAGGGGAACTCAACTCCCAGCGGTCTGCCCAGCTGACCAGAGAAGTGAGTTTGGGGAAATGCTAAGCAGCTCAGTCTGGACTCATTGAATGGACATGCCCAGGCCACCCGCACCAAACACCACCTGAGAAGACACCCGCCTCACTCACCCAGGTGACTGCACCCATGACAGGGTCCTCATCATTTGTGTTCCTTCTTCTCCTGCCTGTTTGCTGCCTGCGGGTTTTCACTCTGAAGGAAGAAGTCAGCAGCCAGAGTGGCTCAGGCACAGGCGGGCAGGCTGCCCCCGCTCGCTCACAAGACAACTGAGCCACCTTCACCCCGGAACCCGACTCGGAGACCTTCTGAGGTACAAGTGAGTTCTCTGTCCCCCAGATGACCAGGCGTTTGGCCAAGACGACGCTTACATCGCAACAGGCCCCTATGCAGAGAGAAACTTAGGCACAGGCGATCGTAACTGTGGTGTTCCTGACAACCCAACAGTAGACACAACCCACTGTCCTTCGGTGAATGCAGAGACAAAGAGAAAGTGCCCAATCCGTTCCACAGAATGGTACTTGGAAATGAAAAGGGCTAAAGTATTGGCACGTGAACCTTGAAAATGTCATGCTATGTGCAAAAAAGAGGCATGAAGGACCATGTATGGTAGGATTCCATTTACATGAAATGTCCAGAAAGGACAAATCTAGAGAAACAGGACATAGAGTAGTGATGACCAGGGCCTGGGGTAAGGATGGTGGCAAAATGACAAGAGATTTTTTTTTTTCCACTTTGTGCTAATGAAAGAGATTTAAAATGGATTGTGGCGGTAGGTGCACGACTCTGGGACTGAACTAAAAGCCATTGAGGTGTACAGTTTAAATATATAAGAAGTTCATCTCAATGAAGCTGCTACCGCATCCCCTCCACAGAATGGACCCCTCTGTTTGGACTCAGCGCTGCCTTTCGGGGATTGCGGGGCCTCTCTGTGTCCTCCCCACGACGCAGCTCCCTGGGCCTCCCCAGGACACGGGCTTACATGCAAAAGGAGATGAGACACAAGCCTAGAGACAGTAGGGCCATGGCACCAGCCCCTCCAAGAGCCGCGGGAACCACTCGGGACACGCACACCGGCCTCTCTGCGGAAGAGAGAGGCGTGAGCACCCCCCCCCCCCCACCGGGCAGCGCTCAGTGACCGGTCTTCCCAGCCCCTTGCAGAACCGGCCACAGGTTCTGTTCAGACAGGAGATGGAGGGTCCACCCCTAGCAAGTCACCCCCTCCCCGGCCACCGCCCCTCCCCCGGCCCCGGCCCGGCTCGGGTCCCTGCCCGTCTCCCTAAGCCCCGGCCCCCAGCAGGCCCCTGACCTGGCAGCAGCAGGGCGCCGCCGCTCTGCGCCCCGTGGACGTTCTCCGCCTCGCAGCTGAGCCGGAGGCCGGCGCCGAGCCCCGCGCGGAGGCTCAGGGAGCCGTTGACCCAGGGCCCCGCGGAGCGGGAGGTGACCGCGTGGGAGGCGTTGCTGTGGTTCCCCGCCAGCAGCCCCTCCCCCAGCCGCCAGCGCAGCGAGGGGGCCGGCTGGCCCCGGGAGGAGCAGCTGCAGCGCAGACCCTGGTCCTCCCAGGAGCAGAAGGGTCCCAGCAGCCGTGGGGGGTCTGTGGGGAGCGAGGAGGAGGGTCGGTGGCGTCTCTTCCCGCCCAGAGCCCAGGCGCCCTGCTCCCAAAGGCCCCCACACTCACAGACCACGAAGAGGCGGAGGCGGAGAGTTCGGGAGCCCAGCCGGTTCTGAGCTCGGCAGGTGAACTGTCCTTCACCCCCAGTCCCCATGCGAGGCAGCTCCAAGACCCGGGTGCTGGAGATGGGGCCCGAGTTCAGGCTGGGGGACCCCCGGAACCAGCTCAGCTGTGCAGGGGGGTTGCTGTCAGCCACGCAGAGCAGCCGCGGAGCCTCGTCCTCCAGGATGAGAAGGGATGTGGTCTGCAGAATGTTGAGGGCTTTGGGGAGAGAGAAGTGTAAAACCATAGAGGGAGAGAACACAGGCACCCACGCACACCGGGGGCGGGAGGGAAGGAGGGTGGCGGTTCTCATCCTTCCGTCTCCCGTATCTGACCCCAGTCTCAGGTTCCAGCCCGAGAGGGAGGTTCTTCCCTACCTGTGACATTTCTGTAGGACCCAACTACGGTGAGGTTCCGTGGGGCATCTGGGACAGAAAGATATGGCTCCACTTCAGAGGGGAGCAGCTGATGGAAGTCACCTGAACCCAAGGAGGGCAGTGGCACGGGGTGGTGGGGTCGCTTTGTTCTGGCCCCATCCCCTTCCACACTCAGATGCATAAATGAGCGTCCTCAGGTTAGCTCAGCCTCCGCTATGCACAAACGATCGGGCTGGCCAGTCCCACTGCCCCCAGGAAGCCAGCCATCATTCCAACACTCACAGGAGACATTGAGGCGAATGGTATTCTGTGTGGTCACCTGAGGTCCTTCAAGTGTCACCAGACAAGTGATTTTGGTGCCATGGTCCCCGGGCTTCGGGGTGAAGGTGAGCTTGGAGGAGCGAAGGGTCTTGGGACTCAGAGAGTCAAGAGCATCCCCCACCCATGAGAAACTGAGACGTCTTCTCCCCTCACAGGACCACAGCAGGGTGCATTCCAGCCATGCGGGGTGGCCGGACTCCAGAGTCCCCAGGATACGGATGTCAGGTTTCTGTGTCAGGTCTGAGGAGGAGAGAGGGAGGTGCCTGGGACCTGGGGCTACAACCGGGAGCCATAATGTGACCCTGCCCGGGGCCCATGGCTCAGAGCCTGAGCTCACCCCAGGTCCTGGGTCTCTTCTAACACCCTGGGCCCAAGGCTTGGATGAAGTAGTGTCCCAGGGTCCTGTGGCTGTTCTAAGACGGGTCCCACTTCTCCACATCCTCTCCTGGGCCCTAGTCATACCTGTCACCAGCAAAGTCATCTCCTCATCTTGGTAAGTATGTTGGGTAGTACTTCGTCTCTCCACTCGGAAAAAGTAGATCCCTGCATCTCTCTTCCTGGCATCTCTGATGCTCAGGGAGCAGTTGTTGGTCCTAGGATTCGTGAGGAAGAATCGGCCCAGGGTCTCTGTCTTCACTTGCAGAGTTGGGACGTTCGTGGCCACAAGTTCAACCTTATGTTGGTGGTACCCTTTCTGGTAGACGTAGATGTTGATATTGCTAGAATACAAAGAACTCCAAGCAGAGGGGAAGGAGCAGGGCACGAGTGTGCATCCACCCTCCTGCACGCTTACAGATTTCTGCAGTTGGATACCGGAGCCTGGCTGCTCCTGCAGGGACCCTGGGGGAACAGAGACACTCAGCATCTTCCCCACCCCCTCCCCCACCTGCCCATCCCCCTTCCCAGGCCCTCTCACCCCCCCACAGCAGGGGCAGCAGCAGTAGGGGCAGCATGTCTGCTTCTCACAGGGCAGAGAAGGTCCGCATTCCCGTGTCAGGAGGGCAAATGCCCAGCTGCGGGGCGGGGCCAATGATTCCCCAACAGGAAGCTGTGGGTGACAGAGAAGTGGCCAGTCCTGGAAGGGAACTTGGGCTCCTCAGGCCTCGGGGATGCGGAGAGGGCTGAGAAATCATCCTGCCTCACATCCCCCAACCCGACCCTGCAGGTGGATACACCGAGGCCCCCTAGTTGAGGGGTTGGTCCTGATGGGAATCTGAATGTGATCACCTTATAACTGACGTCGAAGTCCAGAGGGAGGGCACTCACGTGTCCTTGCAGTCAGAGCTGGTCCTGGTGACTCAGGGCACCCACCCTCCAGCTGAAACCACTGAACATTCTGGGAAAGGACAATTTTAAATTTTCTTTAGACCATCAGGTGCTGGTAAGAGAGGAAGGAATTTAGACCCAATTCCAGTGGAGGGTGGAAACCAGGGGGAAGCTGGGTGTTAAAGCCCTTTGCTCTGAGGGACTTGGGGAACATGGGATGCACAAATGATGGTCTCCCAGGGTCAGAGAGTCTGTGGGGCAGCGATGGCGCACAGGGGCCCTCAAGGCGGGACGTGTGCAGGACCTCACCCCATTCCAGGGGACCTCAAACCCTGGCCCTCAGCGCAGCAGCAAGTTTTCAGCCTTAATCCTCAGGAAGTTCCATCCTTGGGGCCCCTGACTTGCTTGGTCCCTTTTCAAAGCCCCGGCAAGGGCTCAAGCGATGTGTGGAAATAGCTTGCAATCCCGCTGCTCTTTATGAGAGAAAGAAACTTGACGAACATTTTCTCAAACATGATAATGATATGAAACCGATCTGGCATTCCCTGTAACAAGGTGTCCGGTAGTTTCTCCAACTACTCTATTTGGCCATGTGTAATGCACACTCTTTGCCCAAATTTTTGAGGGGAAAAATAAGGATATGCATTATACAGTGGTGGTACTACTTCTGTGTCTATGTAAATGTTTTTAATTCTTTCATTTACGCGTATGTGTTAAAAGTGTAACTCTAGAAAGCAGTAATGATATCTGCACGCAAAATAATACCCTGAAAAACGGTGACCGGTTCTGTTTCTAAATATAAATAAATAAAAAATGGGCCCCGGCTAGTGCGGCTCAGTGGACTGAGCTCTGGCCTGTGAGCCAAGGGGTCACAGGTTTGATTCCTGATCAGGGCACGTGCCCAGGTCGGGGGCCAGCTCCCTGGATGGGCGCTCGGCAGGCAACCACACACTGATGCTTCTCTCCTCTCTCTTTCTCTCTTCCCCTCTTTCTGAAACTAAATTTAAAAATATTTCTTAAAATTGAATTAAAAAATTACAACCAATATTTTCTTCCTGAAAAGTGGGCCTAAAATGTGGGCGCATATTATACAGGGCAGGGTTTTATACATGGCAAAGTACGGTACACAGGGAAGCACAACGTCTGTCTCCTGCGCCAGAGGAAACGCTAATTCACTTTCTGTTGGCTATATTATATAAACATATTATTATAATAATGATTACTAATATATTACTAATATTTATTACTACAAGACAGAAGTATTCTCCTACGAAGAACCAGTCAAACAGTATCGGCCATAAATGCTGTTAGGAATGAGTGTCATACCTGTGTGCCAGACAGGAAGGCCGCACTGCTAATGAAACTAGTCCATGATTTTCTGAATTGTCTTATATTTTGGTTTTCCGCTCTTTAGCTCTTCTTACTTGATGTGATGTGCTTTCTCACTTCAGAAAATTTCATGGGTGGCACATGGTGCTTTTTCTTTGAAGCAGTGATCTCGACATTAGTATAAACGTCAGGCTTCTCAAAACCTGGGGCTGCCTCCCCCATGGGGAACAGAAGAACCAGGGGGAACCAGCTCGACACACACCCACCCCAGACTCCTCACATATTGCAAACAAGACTGTCTCGTGCAAGCGAAGGGCTAAACAAAGCAGCATTTCCACGGCTGTGTCCCCATAGTTCACATCGCTGAGATGTCTAGCAAATCTCAGAATTATAAAATTGACAAGAAATAAGTATTGGCAAGAATGTTCATAAAGGGGAACCCTCTTGCACTGTTAGCGGGAATGCAAGTTAGACAGATGCTATGTAAATCAGTATGGCGGTTCCTCAAAAACTAAAAATAGACCTGCCCTAAGATCCAGATACTCCACTTGTGGGAATTTATTTGGAGGAAATGAAAACACTGGCTTGAAAACTCATAAGCAGCCCTGTGTTCACTGCAGAATCATTTACAAAGTCAAGCTGTGGAAGCAACCGAAGTGTCCATTGACAAAGGAAGGGATGAATAGGATGTGGTACAGATACAATGGAACATCATTGTGCCACAATGCTAAGTGAATCAAAATGACAGAGAAAGACAAATACTGTATGACTGCACTTGTATGTGGGAACTTTAAAAAAATATCAGACTCATAGAGAGACTAGGTTGGTGACTGCCGGAGAAAGAAAATCAGTGCAAAATAAAAACAAAACCCACAGAATGGGAAAACATATTCACTGATACACCTGATGAGGGTTTAATATCCAAAATTTACAAAGAACTTACAAAACTCAACACCAAAAAAAAAAAAAACAAAAAAAACAACTCAATTAAAAAATAGGGCAAGGGCTTGAGTAGACACTTCTCCAAAGAGGACATAAAGATGGCCGATAGACATATGAAAAGATGCTCAACGTCACTAATCATCAGAGAAATGCCAGTTAAAACTGCAATGAGATATCACCTCACACCTGTCAGAATGGCTGCCATCGATCAATCAACAAACAGCGAGTGCTGGCGAGAATGTGGAGAAAGGGGAACCATTTGCACTCTCTGTGAGGATGCAGATTGATTTTGCCACTGTGAAAAGTAGTAAGGAGATACCACAAAAAATTTTAAATGGACCTACTTTTTGACCCATCCATCCCACTTCTGGGAATATATCCAAAGGGACCCAAAACACTAATTTGAAAGAACATAATCACCCCTGTGTTCTTTGCAGTGTTATTTGCAATCATCAAGATATGGAAGCAGCTCAAGCGTCCATCTGTAGATGAGCAGAAAAACAACTATGGGACATTTACACAATGGGATGCTACTCAGCCATAAAAAATAAGAAAAAAAGTTTGCCTTTTGGGACAATATGAATGGGCAGATGGACCTAGAGAACCTTATGCTAAGTGAAATAACCCAGTCAGAGAAAACAAATACGACATTACTTCACTCATACGTGGAATTTAATGAACAAACTGAACTCATAAGCAACATAGAGACGGACTTGATAGATGGAGAGAAGGATGAGAGCTAAGTAGGGAGAAGTTAGGGGGCGGAGGAACTGAGCAAAAAGGAAAAAGGGCTCATGGACATGGACAAGGGTGTGGTGATTGGGGAGCCAGGAAGGCATAAGGGGACTAAATGGTAAAGGAAAACTATAATAAAAATTAAAACATAAAAACAAAATAATCAAACTCAAAGGTAGAATAGAGGAGATGGTTGACAAGGGGGAACATGGGGGTAAGGAAAAATGGGTGAGGTGGTCAAAGGGGCAAAACTCGCCGTCCTAAAATAACTGAATGCTGAGCACATAAGGTCGAGCCTGGTGACTGTAGTTAATCATAGTGGGCATTAGACTATTAATTATAATAACGTAGTTAATAATAATGTGTTATATACTGGAATATTACTATGAGAAAAAATTGTTAAATGTTGTCCTTACGAGAGAGAATGTGTGTGATGCTATGTGGTGATGGATGTTAACATGACGTACTGTGGTGAGCACCTGGCGACACACACACATATTAAATCATTAAGTTATATGTTGGGTCAAGTCCCTATGCCCTCCCCGCTCTGGGTGCCACACACCCCATCCCCCGCATCCCCTTCCACAGCCCACCCCAGTGAGGACCCGTCATACCCGGAGATGTAGGGTGGCCCTGTGCCCCGCATCTGGGCCCCTCTCGTGCTTGGGAACCACTGACGGTCTTGGAGGGCTCGGTGGGGGGTGCCCTGGCCCTCTACTTGCACATGTGACTCTGTTCCCTGTGCGCCCTGGAGCCGCCATGTGACCATGGTCTTTCCCAGAACCAGCAGCATGAACAAGAGCTGAGTTTCCCTGGGAGCCCTGCGGGGTGCACGGTGCAAGGAGGCACAGGCCTGTCTGCACCGTGAGATGGACGCCGTGCTGGTGGAGGGTGACGCAGGGTGAAATCTTGCCAGTAAAGTCTGAATGTCATACTCCCTCTCCAGACCCCCTGTGCCCAGACGCCACGGTCCCCAGCTGTGGGTGTCAGGTCTGAGTCAGCAGGAGAGAGGAGACAGAGACACTGCTCAGAAACATGACACCTGGAGGGTCCTTCGTGCCAACTCAACCCTCTGGCTGAGGCTCCGACCCTACCTGTCCCACCCACAGAGGGAGTTCTGTCTTTGTGGCAGTTTCCCCTAAGCAGCCTTCTCCTCCTGAAGGAGCAATGTCCTGCCCACCCTGACACCTCTGTTTCTCAGGGAACAGTTTTATGTGGAGGTTCCCAAAGTTGTGGAGTCAGCCTAAGGTCGTTGGTCATGTCCTGCAGCTCTTGACCTGTCTGTTTGGTCACAGGAGGATCGTGGTATATGTTACCTCTTCCTTAACCCAGAAGATGTAGCCTATCTACAGTGAACCCGTAGGTTTCAGGATGAGAGGTCAGAAAATGAGGATCCATGGGCACTCTGTCCTCACCGTCTCCCCAGGCCTCACCCCTGCATCTTCTGCCCTGAGTGCTTCTCTAAATTGTTCCCGAATAAAGAGGAACGACCGTGTCCCACATCCCTTTTACCCCACGTACACACAGCAGGGGCAGTGACACCAGCCTGGCCTTGGAGGGTCCCATCCAGGACCCGTGATATCACTGGGTCACTCCCTGCTCTCTGGGAAGCAGTGCCTACTTCTATCTATGGCTCTTTTGGGAGGGTCACCTCCCAACCTGCCCTCTCTAGGAGGCTTTCCTTCTCACAGGGAAAACCGGGAAGCGTGGGCGGAGCTCTCCCCACCCTAGGTCTGCGGACACCTCTCAGGATGGCTCCTCTCCATCCCACTCCCTACTCATGTCACCTGTCCCAGGTGTTCATCCCCGCACCCCTCAGAGAATGGACAGAGTTCCCCCCCCCCCCCCCCCCCCCCGCTCTCTCAGAATTCTCAAAACATTTCTGGGAGCAGGAGGGTGGGAGCCAGGACCTACCAGAAGCCAAATTCTCTCTCTCTCTCTCTGTCCTGGTCCTCAGCCCAGGTCTGGTCACACAAGAAGCCTCGAGAAGGGGTGGCTGAAGGGGTGGCCTTATGGTCAGAGGCTTGAACGGAGAAGGGTGGCCCTGATGCTAGGCTCAGGGGTGAGTGTGCTGCTGGTGGGTCTGTGCTGACAGGGTGACATTAGAAAGCCACTGGTCTGCTGTGGGGCTGTGAGCTCATCCTCAGCGTTCCCGGGAACTCTGCACGCATACCTTCTAACTTCTCTACAGTTTCTTCAGACAAAAAAACGCCTCCCCTCTTTATGGACCTATTGTATCTCCCTCTCCTTACCCCACCTCCACTTTCGCCTGCCCTTGTTTGGCTTGCTCTGCCCTTCATGACAATTCTCTTCATGCCGTGGTCCCGTGAGGCCACAGAATCCTTTCCCCAATCTGACTATTTATCCTTCACGTAGAATGAATTGAAACTTAGAATTTCTTTGAGTGATGTATCAGCTCCAAATACAACATCTCAACCAGATTTCTTCATTGGATTTAAATGGCTTTTCATTTCTTTATTTGAGCCAAATCAGGACTTGGCATACTGCCAGGCACAGGAAAGAATCACAGATCCTGTTTCCTGTTGTCCAGAGCTCCATGGCAGTACAAGGAAAGTATTAAAAGAAAAGGAAAATATCTACCCAGTGTTGTGAGGAAAGCAAGAGAAGGAAGGGCAAGGGTCTGACGTCGGTTTTCTGGATGGGGCGATGGTAGGGTCAGCCCTGAAGGACAAGGAACCCAGTGGCCTCTGAGAAGTGCCTTGTGTCTCTGAAGCCACGGCTCCTCTTCCCTAGGATTTGGAGGTGTTCAGGGGGATGCTGAGGAGGAGCTTGGGTGCACTCCGTCCTGTAGGACAGAATGCCATCAGCCTCATTCCCCAGCCCTACCTCCAGGGGGCGCCCCATCCTCCGTGCCAGTCCTGCCAGCTCCCGCACAGCGGTGTGGCGCTGCCTTTGGTCCTGGAGCACAGCCGGGTCAGCTCTGCCAAGGACCCCGGCTCACAGGCAGGAGGGCCCGAGCCTTCTCTTCGATGAGCGGTGCACCTACGTCGGAGGGGCTCGGAAAGGCTGGGTCCCTCTTCGCAAGGAGGAGTCAGGAGAAGGCGTGGCAGTGGGCGGGGTTCATGTCTGTGCTTTTCGTCGCAGCCCTCTGATTTGTCTTCTTGCTATTTAATAATGTAATTCTTCCTTCAAATTTTTCCACAAAAGATGACCATTGAAACCTAAGACATGTGCTGGTTTGAAATATTTTCACATGCATTGGCTATTAAAAATATATTTCTAGTTCATACTATGTAACTACATATTTTAGTTTATATTATATAAATATGTCTTATAAATATTACAATTAATATATAACGAATTATTACAATTAATAATATACTGTGATTTATTATATTGTATTATAATATTCTCTTCTAAATAATGTAAAAATATAATGTGATACCTTATTACTATCGCTTATATTCTATAAACATATAAGTTACACTATGGGATCATGTCTCAAGAAACAGAACATGAAGGCTCCCCAGGAGCCTCAGAATTTCTCTTTGTTCCCCTTTCTCTCCAAGCCCCTCGTCAGTTACCCCCATAGAGACGCTTGGGGCCCTCCGCTTTTCTGCCTTTGCCTATTGTCGTAGCACCTGCATACTTACTCTTCAACAAGAAGGTTGCTTTAGAACTCTACATAAGCGGAGTGATGTAGTGACACCTGTTTCGTGTGCCCTTACTAGGACTCCTCCAGCTTTCTTTCTGTTAGTGTTGGCACAGTAAATAATCTTGTCTTCCTTGACTTCGGCTGTACCTGGCAGAGAGGTGAGGTGGGCTCCGCGGTCAGCAGGGCTGGGGCAGGAGGCCGACCCCGGGCTCTGCGAGAGGAGGGGACGCCCCCTCCTCTCCTCCTACACTGCGTGAGAAGACACCGCCATCACTCACCCAGGTGACTGAACCCATGACAGGGTCTTCATCGTTCATGACCTTTCGCCTCCTCGCTGCTTCCTTCCTGCGGGCTTTCACTCTACGGGGAGAAGTCAGGGGCCCCAACGGCTCAGGCACAGGCGGGCAGGCTGCCCCTGCTCCCTGATAAGACAACGGAGGCATCCAGGCCCCGGGACCAGACTCGGAGACCCTCCTGATACGTGAGTGCTCCATCCCCTGGTTTACCCGGTGTTTGGTCAAGGCTACACTGACATCATCATGGACCCCTAACCAGAGAGAAACTCACGCGTGAGCGATCACAAGTGTTACTCCTGATAGCCAAAAAAGTGGAAACAACCCAACAGACTGTCAATGAGGAGACAAATAGAAAGTGCCCCAGCCGTACCATGGAATATTACTTAGACATTAAAAGAAATAAAGCACTGACATACGAACCTTGAAAATGTCATGCTTTATGAAAAAAATCAGTCTCAAAGGATCATGTATTGTATGATTCCATTTATATGAAATGTTGGGAATGGGCAAATCTAGAAAAACGGGACATGGATTAGCGGTGGCCCAGGGCTGGGCAGGGGATGGTAGCAAAGTGACAAATAAGGGACATTAGGTTTGGTTTTGTTGTTTTCATTTTGTGCTAATGAAAAGGTTTTAAAATTGATTGTGGTGATGGGCGCACAACGTTGTGACTGAACTAAAAGGGAAACTCCAAGGCAGGAACCTCCCTCGCTTCCCTGGGGATGTGAGGGGACCGGGGCTTCCGCCGACTCAGAGGTGACACCCTCCTTTCTCACCCCTGTGCCCTCTGGGCCGGGTCTGCCCCCAGCACCCTCACAAGTGTCTCCCATTTATGGGGTTTCTGTTGCTTTTGGTTGCCCCTGTTCTTTTCTCAAGTTTTAAGTTTCATTTCCATTGGGGGAAAGCATACATAACATGCCACTAACTATCTACACCATTTTTAGGGAACAGTTCAGCAGGCTCAGGGCATGTGCAGGGTTGTGCAACCCATGGGCAGAATTTCTTTCATGTCGCGGAACTGAAAGTTCATGCCCATGAGACAGTATCTTCCCATCCACCTGGCAAATGCCCTCCACTTTCTGTCTCTGGGATGGTGGCAACTCCAGGTCCTGCTCCTTTTCTTTTTTCCTGTCCCCTTTTATGGATTTCCTGTCTGCCCTCACCTCCTCCGACACGCGCCCTCCTTCGGCTGCGATCTGGACATTTTCTCCAGGAATCTTCACGTTCCCGTTCCCCATAGCTGCTCCCTGGACCCGGTTCAATCTCTCCCCACTTTCCCACGCGTGCTCATCCCTTCCCATGAATCCACCTGTGATCCTGCCTCTATCCTGACCAATCCTGATGCTTCCTATCCGGCCACAGATGGGCACAGGCAGCCGCCTCTTGCTGCTGCCCCGCAGCTGCCCCGGGACCACACGTAGCCCCGGCGAGGTCTGACTCGCTCTAGGCGACTCGCTCTCACCACGAGCACCGGAGTCAGTGCGTCTGGGCAATTTCACTTCTCAAATCGCTTCCCTCTTCTCCTTGCCTTTGGCCCCAGAACCAGCTCCACGCTTGTCCTCGACCCTGGGCCCCACGGCTCGGGCCCCGGCTCAGCCTCCCTGCCTCCAGTCTCGTCTGGCGGGTCCAGGCCCCACCTGGCCCAGCAGGCTCTCCCCGGGCTCAGCACTGACTCTGTGTCCCCCGGGCACAGCCCCCTACTCTTACCCAGGGAGCCCAGGGCCCAGCCCAGGGCCCTCAGCCTGGTGCTCAAGGCCCCGGAACTTCTGGCCCTGCCTTCTGTCCCCCTCTCTCTCACCTTGTCGTGGCGCAGCCGGGCCTCCTGCCGATTTCAGGTGTTGGTGCGATTCCCCTCACCTGCCGGGCTCCCCCAGTTCCTGACCCATCTCCACCGGGGCCGCCCCCACCCTTCTCATCCGTCCAACCCCGGCTCAGCCCTTCCTTCATGGTAGCCAGGCCTGACTTCCAGGGTCACTACCCCTTAACCCACATGCTGTGTGTCTCCCCCCCAGTTCTGAAGACCCTCGGCAACCGCACGTCCCTGCCTGTCCTGGAGGGCGAGTCCCTGCGCCTGGTCTGCGTGGCTGACAGCAACCCCCCTGCCACGCTGCGCTGGTCCCTGGACGGGAAAGCCCTGAGCAGGACCCAGCTGTCAGCACCGGGGGTCCTGGAGCTGCCCCCCGTTGGGGCTGGAGACGGAGGGGAGTTCAGCTGCCGGGCTCGGCACCCGCTGGGCTCCCAGCACGTTTTCTGTGCAGTGAGTGCAGGACAGGTGCGGGGGGCGGGCATCCAGGCCAGGTGACGAGTTCAGAACTTAAACACCATGCCCTCTTCCCCAGGAAGCCCCCTGGGGAGCAGCAGGGGTCCTGGCTCCTGGTGCTGATGCTTTACTGGGAGAGTTTGCCAGAGGAAGACCACGGACTCCACGGGTAGAAGGAGCAGGGCACGTGTACACATAGACCCTTCTGCACCATTACTGATCCCTGCACTCGGAGCTCATAGCGTTGCTGCTCTTGCAGGGATCCTGAGGGGACAGATTCAGCTGCAGCCCCATCCTCTCCCCGACCTGCTCGTCCCCTCTTTCTGAGCCTACTCACCACCGCACAGCAGATGCAGCAGCAGCAGAAGGGGCACCATGTCTGCACCTGACAGGGCAGAGCAGGTCCAGGTTCATGTGTCAAGGAGGAGAATTCTGAGCTGATGGGTGGGGCCGGGGCTGCCCCAGCAGGAAGCCGTGGGCAAGAGCAGTGGCCAGGCCTACAAAGGAAACTTGGGCTCCACAGGCCTCGAGATAGGGCAAGAGGCACTGAGAAATAGTGGGACCTCCTGCTCAACATTTGCACAGACATTCTTGTGGTGAATCATAAGGTCCCACAGTTGCAGCCCTTGTTGCCTGGCATCACGTCTACACAGGGAAAGAACAGCACCTGGCCAGCTCCCTGGGGATCAAAGCCTCTGGGGCCTCAGGAAGAGCACAGATAAAATCTGTCATCACGTCACGGGAGCAGTGCTGAGGCACACAGGCTGAGGGTCCACGTAGCTGAGGTCTCCTCTCTCTGGAGAGCAGGTGTGTTCACACAGATGAATACATCAGGGGGACGTGACCTTGGTCCCCGCCTTTGACCCTGCCTCCTGACTCCTTAGAGCTGGGTCCCCATTCCCATCGCTGTCCTCACCCCAGCTGGCCTCAGAGTCTGGTCCTGGCATTGCAGCCTAGAGCAGACCTAAGGGCCAGGCACTGGGAGTGTGGGAGTTGAGGGCATGGGGTACCTGGGTGGAAACCCAGATACGTACCCACCACCTCACTGAAAATCTGTTCCACTTTACCAGAGGTATTTAGCCTCAGTTTCCTCATCTATAAAATAGAAACGTCACTATTACTGCTGCGTGAGGAATAAAGGAATGCATGTGTGTCAAAAGCGTAGGGGGCAGCTCTCTGTGTGAGGCATGCCTGCACCGTTCCTCCCTCCTTCATCTCTCAGGGCATCTCTCTCTCTCTCTCTCTCACTATCTCTCACTCTCCCCCCGCCACCCCCAGGTTCTGTGGGCCATTTGTTGCCTCTGTAGCTCCTTTCCTGAGCCATTTCTTTTAAGCCTCACTTCCTCTGCCTCTGTAACTTTCTGAATAATAATAAAAATAATAATAATAATAGCATACAGGATTGTGCCTGGTACTAAGTATTTACTCATTCGGCTAATGTTTCATGGGCGCCAGCTGTGTGCCAGGCCCTGGTTTAGTGGCTGAGATACAGCAAAGGGTAAGCTCTTACAATAAAGAAAAGGTGAGTAAAAAAACTCACCTTTCAATAGAAACACACACTTAAGAGGAATTTTTTTTAATCATCTCCCAGAGAATGATGCATTTTAAGCAACAAAAACAAAACAAACAAACAAAAAAAAAGAAAACTGAGAACGGAATGCAGAAAAGAAATTGTTGAGGATTGCTAGAATTTTTTTAAAACATGGCTGGGTCAGGCCTCATGGACATTTGAGTAAAGACATGAAGAAAGTGAGACAGTGGGTTCTGAAGTTGTTCAGGCCAAAGTGCACGCTCTGCAGTCCCAACGCAGGGAGGCCTGTGATGTGTACGTCAGGCAGGTGACAGCATAGCAGAGTAAGAGATGGGAAACGTGGAAAGAGAGGTCTGGAAGGGATCTTGGGCCAGACCATGAAGAGATGTGGAGGCTATTGTAAGAACTTGATTTTCACTCAGGGCGTATTATTCAGGGTTCTCCAGAGAAACTGAACCAATCAGGTGTGTGTACTTCTATAGACTTATTCTCAGACATCATCTGATGCAGTTATGGAGGTTGGCGAATCCCAAATCTGCAGTGGGCAAGCTGGAGGCCCAGGGGAGCTGGGGTGGCGTCATTCCAGAATGTAGCCCAGCAGCTTGAAACCTAGGAAAAGCCGACATTCCAGTTCAAGTCTGAAGACTGAACTGAGAAAGGCTGGTGTCCCTACTTCAAGGCAGCCAGGCAGGCGGCGCTCCCCTTACTCACAGGAAGGCCAGCCTTTCCTGCTCTTCCATCCTTCAACTGATAGGGTGAGGCCCACCCACATTAGGGAGCACAGTCTGCTTTATTCACTCTATTGATTTAAAAATTAATCTTCTTTTAAAATTATCTTCCTGCACACCCGCACGCTTTTACCTGGTCACTAGCAGAAGGGACAGAAGAATCGAGGTTGGAGCGTCAAGACCCTGCCCTGGGATTAGTTCATTCTCTACTCCCAGCTCTGATTCATCTATTAGGGGTTGGAGCAGATGAGATCAGTAGGCAGGAAGGAAGTTGCATCCAGAAGCCACCACAGGTAGACACGAGGACCCTGACCGAGCAGAAAAGTTTCCCCATAACATCTCTAAGGAAGGAAGTGGCCATGAACAGACAATCTCAGAGCCCACTGCGCGGTGACAGCCGACCAGAGAACGAGCCCACAGAGGGCAGAGGAGCTACAGTGCTAACAAATACAGAAAAAGGATTTCTGTAACATTGACCCGGCTGTGGAACCCTCTGTGCCTAAAGCCAGTGTACTTCAGAACTTTGCAACTGGCTTTCATTGGGTTTCATTTTCTCCAGTTCAAGCTGCAAAGGTCTTGGGTGTGTCTAACACAACCTCTCCCCTCACCAGCGTGCCCGCACCTCGCCACCTGCTCTGCCTCAGCCCCTGAAGCTGCCGACACCCTCCCCATAAGAAACTTGACTTCAGTCCATAGTTCACAACTTCTCCAGGACTCGGTCAGATTTGTTCTCAGGCAGGCTCCAAACCACCCACTCTCCTCTCCCTACACTCGCGCCACATCCCGGCACCTTTTGTCAGAACACATGTCCAGTTGCTTTCCTTACACTCGTCTACTTCACTCATTTACTGTAACTGCCTTGGTTACAGAAGGACTTGATTTGTGGGGCTGTGAAAGCACCCAACAAAACCCCCCAGCTGTAGCGTGTCCATCCATCTCTAACTGGTCTTTGCAACCGAACTCACCTGAGAAAGAGGAAGAACCTAAAGAGCAGCAGCGCCCCCTGCTGGATTTTGTAAACAGCTTTTTTTCCCCCCACATATTTTCAAAGTTAAGTTACACACGTTGCCAAAGTGCAAAAGTGCAAGGCCCAGCCCCCAGGATGTATAAAAGAAAGAAAAAATAATAATAACAATGACATTGCAGGAGACATCTGCTTTCAACTCTGACATGAAAGTTTCTTGGAGTATCACTGTCATTCGCAGGACAAGAAAAACCGAATCAGCTGGGGTCAATCACTTTTCTTTGACCCATCAGAGATCGGAGGTCACAGAACAAGCCACCATCTGAAATCTAGAGAGACTGGCAAATGCAGAAAGTCACAACGCGGATCTGGTTACCTGGCCCAAAAGCTGCCAGAGCCACATCAGCGAGCACTTTAGTGGCAATGCTGACAACTAGGGGAGGCTGAGGGTGGATCACTGTGACCCACCTGGATTTAATAATAAACTGTGCTGGGCTGAACAGCGACCCCCAGGTCCTGATGCCAGGAACCTGCAAAGGTGACCTCCTTTGGCAAAGGACATTATGCATAAGTGATTAAGCAACATTTTCCAGTTTTTGGCGTAGAAGTCTTGAAACTCTTTTCTTAGTTTCACTTTTAGGAATACGGTGCTGTGGGGTACTTTATAAAAGATATTGTATTTTTTAATTTAATTTCCTGATGTTGCTAATATAGATACAGAAATTTTTTCTGCATGTTGGGTTTGGATGTGGCTACTCTACTAAATTCACATATCAATTCTAATAGTTTGTTTTTAGGATATTTTGCATTTTCTATGTACATTATCTTGTCCCTGGGAACCATAGTGTTTTACTGCTCTTTTTCCAATCACTGTGCCTTTCATTTGTTTTCCTACCTCATTGCTCCTTCTAGGAATTTCATTAAAATGTTGAAAAGAAGTGGTGTGAATAAGCATCCTCATCTTTCTCTTGACCTTAAGGGAAAAGTGTTCAATATTTCACTCTTCAGTATAACTCGACCCGTGCTACTTAAGTACAGTGAATCCTATGCCTCTCGCCAAAAACAGATTTCTGAATCCTAGTTTGTATTTAGTTGACATAGAGGTTTTTAAAACACTTAATTTCTTGGTCACAGTTTAGCATTTGGAGGTATCTCACAATAACCTGAATTCCTAACTTCTTTTGAAAACGTTAATATCTGGCATTTCTGTACAACAGGAATCAGCTGAGGCTGAGCAGAAGCAGCCCAGTTTTATCTTGCTGCATTCTCCCACTAAGTGCTATGGTCTCCTCTGCACTGACGCCAAACAAAACTTCTCTAGCCAGAGATTGACTCTCCCACTTCCTTTCTCAACGTAAAGCAGGGAGAAAATCAACGGTCAAGTGCGACACCTACTGGACATAGTGTACTCAGCGCACTGCACAGCTTAAAATCAAGGAGAGACCAGGATCCGCAATTGAGATTCACAAGGCTCCAGCTCTCTCCCAACGCAAGTAGACAAACCATAAAGTAGAAAAAGAGTATAGCATGGGGAAGATTATAAAGAATATTTTAAATAATTAACCTTAGAAAACATAAATACTGGTAGACGTAGCACCTTCCTATTTATAAGGAAATTAAAGAAAAATTTCTCTTTAGATATAAGCACAAAAACAGCAGCATTTTTTACAACTGGAAAATCTGGGGAAATAATTAAAGTAAAATATTGATGATTAAAAATGTATCTTAGAAGCATAAAATACAATATTTGGCACAGAGGAAATGAAAACCGGTGGCACAGAATCCACGGTAGGGAAGGTCGCCTAGGATGCAGGGGAAAGAACCACCGGGGGAAAATGACGAGGGGAGGGGACACCTCTGGGGAACCAAATTGCTTCTGGAATCCTCATTCTGCTCCCTGCTAATAACTGGAAAGCTGGAAATGAATGCAAGACTTTTCAGGAACATGTAAATTACAAAACCATTCCCAAGAACAGATGACCATGTTAATTAGGCGGATTACTATAAATAAACTGTCAGAATTATATTAACTTATTGCAAGCTCCCAACGAACTGACAATTCTGATTCAATGTAAACTCCAAAAGAAAAAACTATAGACAAAGCTCCCTAATGAACATTGATGAGAAAATTACAAATCGATTACTAGCGATAGA